CATGTCAGCACCTCCGTACCTGCCCCGCAGCCTGGGAGAGCTGCCCCACGAGTACGGGGGCTCGTCACAGTCCTTCCTCACAGACGTGATGTCTGAGAACGGAGACGCTGCACGCTATTATTACCCGTCTGAACCTTATTTTGACAACCAGCAGCAGCAGCAGCGGCCTCGGAGGGTCCCGGACCGCTTCCCTGAGGACTATAGATACTACGAGCACAATGAACACAACTTCCAAAGACTTCCACCACAGCACACTCCCCCGGCTCCGAGCCGACCTCCGTCAGGTAAGAACTGTTCATCATCTCGCCGCTTACAGCCGAGTTCATTCTGTGACACATGATCAAAGTAAGTTTTACTGAAAGAAGAGTTTTATTCATAGAGGGGGCGGGACATCGTTGATTGACAGACACACACAGACTGACAGTCACCATGTTTACTCACTCTCACCTGCTGCACACAACGTGTCACGTCGTTTAGTGCAGTGGTTCTCAAACTATGGTACGCATACCACTGGTGGTACGCCAAGAAATCTCCACAATATTTAAAAAAAAAAAACATCTTATCTTATCTGTCTTGTTTTTATTGGGTTGTATTTATATCAAATGTGTTTTCCCTTCTAAATTAATCTAGTTTTTGCAACAAACAACTTTAATCTGCTCAATTTTTTAACAGGAGTACGCCTCGCGTTTTTAAAAGTTCCACTCGATATTCCGTTATAGTTCAGTACTGAATCAACAGAAAGCAGCTGTAGGTCTACATTAACAGATATTCTGTTATTTATTGGAGATCAGCACAGAATCGGTGGCAAGCAGCTGTACATTAACATTTTAAAAACGGAGCCAGGAGATGCTTCCATTGTGATGCATGTACGGATAGTCACTCACCCTCTCTCTCTCTTTGGCGCTGAAGCTGATGTGATTCTGCTCTTTTTTGCTGTCTTAACTATGCGCAGGAGTTGAGAAGGATTTTTTTAAAGGGAGTTTTGCTATGTTGAACGCAGAGCCTTATGATACAGCGGCTCTGGTTGCACGGAGCCTGCACTCTCTCTCCGCTCTCTCCCCAGCTCTCTCTCTCTCTCTCTCTCTCTCCGCTCTCTCCCCAGCTCTTTCTCTCTCTCTCCGCTCTCTCTCTCTCTATCCCTCTCTCTGCTCTCTCTTCTCTCTCTCTCTCTCTCTCTCTCTCTCTCTCCGCCCTCTCCGCTCTCTCCCAGCTCTCTCTCTCTCTCTCTCTCCGCTCTCTCCCCAGCTCTCTTTCTCTCTCCGCTCTCTCCCCAGCTCTCTTTCTCTCTCTCTCTCTCCGCTCTCTCCCCAGCTCTCTTTCTCTCTCTCTCTCCGCTCTCTTCTCTCTCTCTCTCTCTCCGCTCTCTCCCCAGCTCTCTCTCTTTCTCTCTCCGCTCTCTCCCCAGCTCTCTCTTTCTCTCTCCGCTCTCTCCCCAGCTCTCTTTCTCTCTCTCTCTCTCTCTCTCTCTCTCCGCTCTCTCCCCAGCTCTCTCTTTCTCTCTCTCTCTCCGCTCTTTCTCACTCTCTCTCTCGTGCATGCAGCAATTTTATGAATAAATTAAATATTAAATTAGAACAGGTCGGAAACATACTTGGGCCCAGGTATCGTCTATTAGTGGGAAACACTGGAGACTAAATATTCTCAAATAGGTTGTTGGTAGAAAGTTGTCATTTTTATTGTTCTGCAATTTTTTTGATTTGTGTAAATGTCAGAGTTGTCTGGAGTTTAAGTTCCAGTTCTAGCGCTCACCCTTAGTAGTCCTACAGCGTGGCTGCCAACAGTCAATAATAAATAATATTATTTTATGAATATATTTGCCTCCTGGGTAAAATGTGTGTAGAAATAGGCATACAGTGTATTTTAACTTCTACCATAATGGTGGTACTTGGAGCGGCAAATATCTTTGGAGGTGGTACACAGTCTAAAAAGTTTGAGAACCACTGGGTTAGTGTAATCCCTAAAGGTTCAGTTATCACTGCAGACTGTTAACATCTCTCCGGCTCATTAAACGGTTTCTCGCTGTCAGAGATGAAAACTTAACAAACAGTAGATAAGTTAACTGTTGATCACGCCGAGTCGCTTTGTAAAAATATCAGAACAGTTGCATTAAGACCCACAGAGCCACCTTCAGACCCTCAGAGCCACCTTCAGACCCTCAGACCCTCAGAGCCACCTTCAGACCCACAGAGCCACCTTCAGACCCTCAGAGCCACCTTCAGACCCTCAGAGCCACCTTCAGACCCTCAGAGCCACCTTCAGACCCTCAGAGCGACCTCAGACCCTCAGTGACCTATAGACCCTCAGAGCCACCTTTAGACCCTCAGAGCCACCTTCAGACCCTCAGAGCCACCTTCAGACCCTCAGAGTGACCTTTAGACCCTCAGAGTGACCTTTAGACCCTCAGAGCCACCTTTAGACCCTCAGAGTGACCTTTAGACCCTCAGAGCCACCTTTAGACCCTCAGAGCGACCTCAGACCCTCAGAGCGACCTATAGACCCTCAGAGCCACCTTTAGACCCTCAGAGCCACCTTTAGACCCTCAGAGTGACCTTTAGACCCTCAGAGTGACCTTTAGACCCTCTCCTCTGGACCACATGTTCCCACGCTGCTCGGCGGCGTTTAGTCCATGTCTCTGATGTTTGTTTCCCATCAGGCATCGGTCGGATCCAGGCCAAGTCCCTCGGGAACCTCTCCAACCTGACGGGAGAGGACGTCCCACTTCCTGCCGGCTGGACCGTGGACTGGACCATCCGAGGCAGGAAGTATTACATCGACCACAACACCAACACCACGCACTGGAGCCACCCTCTGGAGAGGGAGGGGCTCCCTCCGGGCTGGGAGAAGGTGGAGTCTGCAGAGTTTGGAGTCTACTACGTGGATCACATCAACAAGAGGGCTCAGTACCGCCACCCCTGTGCCCCCAGGTGAGTCCCAGCTGGAGACGCGTTGTGGTTCCTTCTCTGTGTGGGATAATGAGTTCTTTAAAATGACCTCTGTGTGCTGCAGCGTGCCTCGCTATGACCAGCCTCCTCCCTTACCGCCTCCCGTCACCTATCAGCCGCGGCCTGCAGAGAGGAACCAGCCCGTTCTGGTCCCAGCCAACCCGTATCACACAGCCGAGATCCCAGACTGGCTGCAGGTGTACGCCCGGGCCCCCCTCAAGTAAGAAACTTTACACTACTTTGATCAAAGAGAAAGGTCAGGGCGTCCTGCAGACATGATTATATATCTCAGAGTCCTCTGACTTTAACGACACAGCGAGCTGCACCGTGCCGCCTCTGGGTGGCGCTGTTCAGTGTTATGAATGTAGTCAAGCCAAGGTCATCCATGTGAGTCACATGACATCCCAGTAAACGCCCCAGTGTAACCAGTATACCCAAAGCAAAGGTCCCAGTGTAACCAGTATATGCTCCTCAGGTACGACCACATCCTGAAGTGGGAGTTGTTCCAGCTGGCTGATCTGGACACGTATCAGGGGATGCTGAAGCTTCTCTTCATGAAGGAACTCGAACACATCGTCAAGTCGTACGAGGCGTACCGCCAGGCGCTGCTCGCTGAGGTCGAGGCTCGCCAGCAGAGGAAGCAGTGGTACGCCCAGCAGACGGCGAGCAACAACTTCATGTGACGAGAGAGAGAGAGAGAGAGAGAGAGAGAGAGAGAGAGAGAGAGAGAGAGAGAGAGAGAGAGAGAGAGAGAGAGAGATCTCTGAAAGCGTCTTTACCAAAACACACACGAGTGCCTTCGTTTGATCGAAATAAATCAGACAGGAAGTGATGGAGGAGGAAGGGGGCGGGGCACTCGACCATGAATGAACATGTGACTGAAAACCCTCCAATGAGACGCTCCGACCTGCTCGTCAGCTGTTTGTGGACACTGAACTGAAATAAAAGGCAGCTTTTCTATCTGAAGCTGCCTGCGTCTGTTTGTCCTGACAGTCGGGGTCAAGGGGGTCTGGGTCAGGAGGGTCACGGGGGTCAGGAGGGTCACGGGGGTCCGGGTCAGGCTGAGGGTCCGGGTCAGGACAGCTCCTCCTGCTTTGCTTGTTTTCATTTGATTTCTCTCCCAAACCTTCACACATATTTATATGAAGCTCCTCTTCTTAAAGGGACAGTACCTTCTCTTTGAGGCTCCTCCCCTTTAAGGAGAATGGAGTGTGTGTGTGTGTGTGTGTGTGTGTGTGTGTGTGTGTGTGTGTGTGTGTGTGTGTGTGTGTGTGTGTGTGTGTGTGTGTGTGTGTGTGTGTGTGTGTGTGTGTGTGTGTGTGTGTGTGTGTGTGTGTGTGTGTGTGTGTGTGTGTGTGTGTGTGTGTGGTGTTGTGTGTGTGTGTGTGTGTGTGTGTGTGTGTGTGTGTGTGTAATTAAACATATATAAGCTACGTAATCTTTATTTAAAGGAGATATTTCAAACTCACCTTGAGCATTAATGATGTCACTTTGGGTTCACCTGTTGAGACGCTCAAAAACCTTATTTATCTGATACAGTAAAATCCCTCATTTCAGCTGCTGTCTCTTTAAGGCCCCGCCTCTCCACATGCCCACTTACTCTGATTGGCCAGGTCTGCTTGCAGTCGCAGAGACATAATGCTGTCCGGGTGGGCGTGTCCTTAATGGAGCTGTGTTAGTGGGCATGTCCTGAAAGGAGCTGTCGGAGTGGGCGTGTCCTTTAAAGGAGGGGTTAGGTTTCTCTGAACGCTCGTGTCCTCGCGGCGCCTTGTTTTTATTATCTTAATGATTTATTGACTTTGGGAAGTTCAGGTTCTTGTAAATGTGTTTTAAAGACGGGGGTTAGGGTTATTCTTAACGGACGCCATCAGCATGCAGCGTGTGGAGGTCGACCAATCACATGAGCAGAATGGTTTCTAGATCAAGTGTCTTGTTCATCACGACTTGAGATCAGAAGAAATGAAATGTCCTCTTTGGAGATGATGTTTTAAAATATTTAACAAACATATTTTAACAGGTGTGACGTGTGTAAGACAAATGGGCGGGGCCACAGTGTGGTCATCATGTACAGATCTGACTTTGTGTTTATTAAAAATACAACTGAATAATAAAGTTTGCAGTTTGTTTCTTCTTTACGTCCGCTAATAAAAATGTGAATATCATAAAGTTCTGGTCTCCATACGAACTACTTTGTTTTTGTCTATTGAAGTGGAGCGATCAATGTGTGCATTAAAAAACTCCCTGAAGTCAAAGGAACAAAAATACTAACTCGTGTCGGCAGGCGTCTGCATTTGAGTAGGCGTGTCTGCAGGCAGGCGTCTGCAGGCAGGTATGTCTGCATGTCTGCAGGCAGGCGTCTGCAGGCAGGTATGTCTGCATGTCTGCATGTCTGCAGGCAGGCGTCTGCAGGCAGGTATGTCTGCCTGTCTGCAGGCAGGCGTCTGCAGGCAGGTATGTCTGCCTGTCTGCAGGCAGGCGTCTGCAGGCAGGTATGTCTGCATGTCTGCAGGCAGGCGTCTGCAGGCAGGTATGTCTGCATGTCTGCATGTCTGCAGGCAGGCGTCTGCAGGCAGGTATGTCTGCATGTCTGCAGGCAGGTATGTCTGCATGTCTGCAGGCAGGCGTCTGCAGGCAGGTTAGTCTGCAGGCAGGTATGTCTGCAGGCAGGTATGTCTGCATGTCTGCAGGCAGGCGTCTGCAGGCAGGCGTCTGCAGACAGGTATGTCTGCATGTCTGCAGGCAGTCATTTGCAGGAAGGTGTCCATGTGTCGGCAGGCAGGCGTCTGAATGTCGGCGGGCGTCTGCATTGCAAAAGCACTTCGGCAGGCGGCGTCTGCATGAAGCTGCATGTGTGTGAATGTGATGGCACAGAAACACTTTGTCACAACCATTAAACTCCAGTTTTATAAAGTAAAGCTGCTTTAAGAGCTCAAAGATGACAGATAACCATTTATCATGCTGAGGAGGCTGAAACACTGACATGACACATTGAGGCTTTCAGACATCAGGTCTTACATTTTGTTTCCTATAAAGAGCACTAAATTGTAAAGAACAGAACCACTGTCACAGGTGGAGGGGGTCACACTCTAGTTTAAAAGCATCTGGAGTGATGAGACATAAACCGTGTAATATGAAGCTGACGGATCAGCGTGGCGTCTGTACACCTTAACTATATATGTTCACAGACAAGAACACCGGCCATCCAGTGAACTCAGGCTGCACCACAGGGGGCGCTGTGACCTCATCATGAACATTATACAGTCTGTTCGAGGGGTTAAAGCAGAGGATGTATGGTGGGCCAGAAAAACAGAGTGCCTGATGGGAGACGAAGCTCCTCCTCCTCCTGTCCATCAACATGAAGTCCCTGCTCCAATCAATCCCTCTTCCTGTCCTCCTCCTCGGCCTCCTCCTCTACCTGAGGCCCAGGGAAGGCGTGGTGGTACAGGTGCCTGTGATTGGCTGCTACATTATAGAGCTTGTAGAGCGCCTGAGGAGCAGAGGAAGAAACATAACACACGATCAGAAGAAAACATCAAAGATGTAGCAGACACAGACTTCATAACAAGCAAGGTTGTCTCCAGGATTTATCTGTGCCCCATAAACAGATCCGTCTCCAGGATTTATCTGTGCCCCATAAACAGATCCGTCTCCAGGATTTATCTGTGCCCCATAAACAGATCCGTCTCCAGGATTTATCTGTGCCAACATTTAGGAAACGTTGACTCACCTCGTTAGTGCTCCCCTGAGGAGGCATGAAAAGAAAAAACATGATCACTGTTAGAAGATACACGATGACATCACCTACATGATGACATCACCTGAACATACACGATGACATCACCTACATGATGACATCACCTGAACATACACGATGACATCATGACATCACCTGAACTTTAGGAACTTTATAATTCGAGACTTTTTTTCATGATCCTAATTTTCTGTGACTACAGATTTGATGTAAATTTTCATGTTTTTAAAAACGATTTTACGAAACTCGTTTTGTTTGGAGTCGAACTTTCCAAACTAGATGAGACAGGTGAGCATTGATTAAAGTTTTGAATGATTGTTATGATTTGGACTCGTGGTCATTACCTGGTCCCAAAGCGCTCCGGCCACCTGGTCGATGACGGCGCCGAGCTCTCGGTACTCCCCGGAGTAGCGGATGTAGGCCCAGGTGCAGAGTGTGATCAGAGCCAGACCCAGGATCATGTTACACAGACTGGCGATGATGTCCACGCCCACAAAGCCTGTGATGCCTGCCGCCACGTACATGACAAAGATGACCACGAACAGCGTGGCCGGCGTGCGTGCGGCGTGGAAAATGTTCTTGGAGTCGTTGTGCTTGATGTACTGGACGAACACCTCGTCGATCTCTCCCTCCAGCTGCTGCAGGTAACGCCGGCTGAACTCCTCGCCTCCCATTTTCTTCACGCCCCGAAACACCTGCAGCGCCTCCTCCCTGATGGCGCCGTGACGGGCCTGCAGCTCGCTGGGGGCCAGGAAGGGCCGGTCCCCCCCACACACCTGAGAGAACAGAGGCTCAGTGAGGAGGACGAGACGTCTTCTTTTAACACAATCTTTACTTTTCTCACCTCCTCCATCTTCTTATTGTACAGATCCTTCGCCGCCGCTACAGCTGCCAAGTTATTGGCCTCCGCCGTGGCCTGAGAGGAAGAGACGATTAATGAGCAGGTACGAACAGGTGATCATCTTCACCTCATTCAACATCTCAAAAAACACATTTCTGTAAAGAGCTGGAAGAAAGAGGATAAACTGAGAAAGAGGGCGTTTCCCTTTTTCTCTTCAGGATCAAATGCTTTCTCTCTCCTCGGCTAACGCTAACGCTAACCCCGACCAGCATCATCCACATCATCTCCCAGACTGGAAGCCCCTCCCCCTCACAATCTGCACTGTTCCTCCTCCCCTCACAATCTGTTCCTCCCCCTCACAATCTGCACTGTTCCTCCTCCCCCTCACAATCTGCACTGTTCCTCCTCCCCCTCACAATCTGTTCCTCCCCCTCACAATCTACACTGTTCCTCCTCCCCCTCACAATCTGTTCCTCCTCCCCTCACAATCTGTTCCTCCCCCTCACAATCTACACTGTTCCTCCTCCCCTCACAATCTGTTCCTCCTCCCCCTCACAATCTACACTGTTCCTCCTCCCCTCACAATCTGTTCCTCTCCCCTCACAATCTGCACTGTTCCTCCTCCCCTCACAATCTGTTCCTCCTCCCCCTCACAATCTGCACTGTTCTCCTCCCTCACAATCTGTTCCTCCTCCTCTCACAATCTGTTCCTCCTCCCCTCACAATCTGTTCCCTCCCCTCACAATCTGTTCCTCCTCCCTCACAATCTGTTCCTCCTCCCTCACAATCTACACTATTCCTCCTCCCCTCACAATCTGTTCCTCCTCCCCTCACAATCTACACTGTTCCTCCTCCCCTCACAATCTGTTCCTCCTCCCCTCACAATCTGTTCCTCCTCCCCTCACAATCTGCACTGTTCCTCCTCTCCTCACAATCTGTTCCTCCTCTCCTCACAATCTGTTCCTCCTCCCCTCACAATCTGTTCCTCCTCCTCTCACAATCTGTTCCTCCTCCCCTCACAATCTGTTCCTCCTCCCTCACAATCTGCACTGTTCCTCCTCCCCTCACAATCTGTTCCTCCTCCTCTCACAATCTGTTCCTCCTCCCCTCACAATCTGTTCCTCCTCCCCTCACAATCTGTTCCTCCTCCCCTCACAATCTACACTGTTCCTCCTCCCTCACAATCTGCACTGTTCCTCCTCCCCTCACAATCTGTTCCTCCTCCTCTCACAATCTGTTCCTCCTCCCCTCACAATCTGTTCCTCCTCCCCTCACAATCTGTTCCTCCTCCCCTCACAATCTACACTGTTCCTCCTCCCCTCACAATCTGTTCCTCCTCCCCTCACAATCTGCACTGTTCCTCCTCTCCTCACAATCTGTTCCTCCTCTCCTCACAATCTGTTCCTCCTCCCCTCACAATCTGTTCCTCCTCCCCCTCACAATCTGCACTGTTCCTCCTCCCCTCACAATCTGTTCCTCCTCCTCTCACAATCTGTTCCTCCTCCCTCACAATCTGTTCCTCCTCCCTCACAATTTGTTCCTCCTCCCCTCACAATCTGTTCCTCCTCCCCTCACAATCTGTTCCTCCTCCCCTCACAATCTGTTCCTCCTCCCCTCACAATCTACACTGTTCCTCCTCCCCTCACAATCTGTTCCTCCTCCCCTCACAATCTGTTCCTCCTCCCCTCACAATCTGCACTGTTCCTCCTCCTCTCACAATCTGTTCCTCCTCCCCTCACAATCTGTTCCTCCTCCCCTCACAATCTGTTCCTCCTCCCCTCACAATCTGTTCCTCCTCCCCTCACAATCTGCACTGTTCCTCCTCCCCTCACAATCTGTTCCTCCTCCCCTCACAATCTGTTCCTCCTCCCCTCACAATCTGTTCCTCCTCCCCTCACAATCTGTTCCTCCTCCCCTCACAATCTGCACTGTTCCTCCTCCCCTCACAATCTGTTCCTCCTCCCCTCACAATCTGCACTGTTCCTCCTCCCCTCACAATCTGTTCCTCCTCCCCTCACAATCTGTTCCTCCTCCCCTCAGAATCTGTTCCTCCTCCCCTCACAATCTGCACTGTTCCTCCTCCTCTCACAATCTGTTCCTCCTCCCCTCACAATCTGTTCCTCCTCCCCTCACAATCTGTTCCTCCTCCCCTCACAATCTGTTCCTCCTCCCCTCACAATCTGTTCCTCCTCCCCTCACAATCTGCACTGTTCCTCCTCCCCTCACAATCTGTTCCTCCTCCCCTCACAATCTGTTCCTCCTCCTCTCACAATCTGTTCCTCCTCCCCTCACAATCTGTTCCTCCTCCCCTCACAATCTGCACTGTTCCTCCTCCCCTCACAATCTGTTCCTCCTCCTCTCACAATCTGTTCCTCCTCCCCTCACAATCTGTTCCTCCTCCCCTCACAATCTGTTCCTCCTCCTCTCACAATCTGTTCCTCCTCCTCTCACAATCTGTTCCTCCTCCCCTCACAATCTGTTCCTCCTCCCCTCACAATCTGTTCCTCCTCCCCTCACAATCTGTTCCTCCTCCCCTCACAATCTGTTCCTCCTCCCCTCACAATCTGTTCCTCCTCCTCTCACAATCTGTTCCTCCTCCCCTCACAATCTGTTCCTCCTCCCCTCACAATCTGTTCCTCCTCCCCTCACAATCTGTTCCTCCTCCTCTCACAATCTGTTCCTCCAGTATCTGATGATCAACGATCAGCCAGAGGCTTAAAGTGTTCCCCGTCACTGGAGCACACACTGCACCCCGTCTTTTGAAAGTGTAGTAAAGTGTAGTAAAGTAAAGAGTAGTAAAGTGTAGTAAAGTAAAGTGTCGTAAAGTGTAGTAAAGTAAAATGTAGTAAAGTGTAGTAAAGTAAAGTGTAGTAAAGTGTAGTAAAGTGTTGTAAAGTGTTGTAAAGTGTCGTAAAGAGTAGTAAAGTGTCGTAAAGTGTCGTAAAGTGTAGTAAAGTAAAATGTAGTAAAGTGTAGTAAAGCAAAGTAAAGTGTAGTAAAGAGTAGTAAAGTGTAGTAAAGTGAAGTGTAGTAAAGTAAAGAGTAGTAAAGTAAAGTGTCGTAAAATAAAATGCAGTAAAGTGTAGTAAAGTCAAGTGTAGTAAAGTGTAGTAAAGTCAAGTGTAGTAAAGTCAAGTGTAGTAAAGAGTAGTAAAGTGTAGTAAAGTAAAGTGTCGTAAAGTAAAATGTAGTAAAGTGTAGTAAAGTCAAGTGTAGTAAAGAGTAGTAAAGTGTAGTAAAGCAAAGTGTCGTAAAGTAAAATGTAGTAAAGTGTAGTAAAGTCAAGTGTAGTAAAGTGTAATAAAGTGTAGTAAAGTGTCGTAAAGTGTCGTAAAGTAAAGTGTGGTAAAGTGTAGTAAAGTAAAGTGTAGTAAAGTGTAGTAAAGTAAAGTGCAGTAAAGTAAAGTGTAGTAAAGTGTCATAAAGTGTAGTAAAGAGTAGTAAAGTAAAGAGTAGTAAAGTAAAGAGTAGTAAAGAGTAGTAAAGTAAAGTGTAGTAAAGTAAAATGTAGTAAAGTGTAGTAAAGTGTAGTGTCGTAAAAGTGTAGTAAAGTAAAGTGTAGTAAAGTAAAAAGTAGTAAAGTAAAGAGTAGTAAAGTAAAGTGTAGTAAAGTAAAGAGTAGTAAAGTGTAGTAAAGTGTAGTGTCGTAAAAGTGTAGTAAAGTAAAATGTAGTAAAGTGTAGTAAAGTGTAGTGTCGTAAAAGTGTAGTAAAGTAAAATGTAGTAAAGTCAAGTGTAGTAAAGTGTAGTAAAGCAAAGTGTAGTAAAGAGTAGTAAAGTGTAGTAAAGTGTCCTAAAGTGTAGTAAAGTAAAGAGTAGTAAAGTAAAGTGTAGTAAAGTAAAGAGTGGTAAAGTGTAGTAAAGTGTAGTAAAGTAAAGTGTCGTAAAGTGTAGTAAAGTAAAGTGTCATGAAGTGTAGTAAAGTGTAATAAAGTAAAGTGTAGTAAAGTAAAGTGTCGTAAAGTGCAGTAAAGTGTCGTAAAGTAAAGTGTGGTAAAGTGTAGTAAAGTAAAGTGTCGTAAAGTAAAGAGTAGTAAAGTAAAGTGTAGTAAAGTAAAGTGTAGTAAAGTGTCATAAAGTGTAGTAAAGTAAAGAGTAGTAAAGTAAAGTGTAGTAAAGTAAAGAGTAGTAAAGTGTAGTAAAGTATAGTAAAGTAAAGAGTAGTAAAGTAAAGAGTAGTAAAGTGTAGTAAAGTGTAGTGTCGTAAAAGTGTAGTAAAGTAAAATGTAGTAAAGTGTAGTAAAGTAAAGAGTAGTAAAGTAAAGTGTAGTAAAGTAAAGTGTAGTAAAGTGTAGCAAAGTGTAGTAAAGTGTAGTGTCGTAAAAGTGTAGTAAAGTAAAGTGTAGTAAAGTAAAATGTAGTAAAGTGTAGTAAAGTCAAGTGTAGTAAAGTAAAGTGTAGTAAAGTAAAGAGTAGTAAAGTAAAGTGTAGTAAAGTAAAGAGTAGTAAAGTAAAGTGTAGTAAAGTAAAGAGTAGTGAAGTAAAGTGTCGTAAAGTGTAGTAAAGTAAAATGTAGTAAAGTGTAGTAAAGTAAAGTGTAGTAAAGTGTAGTAAAGTGTTGTAAAGTGTTGTAAAGTGTCGTAAAGAGTAGTAAAGTGTCGTAAAGTGTCGTAAAGTGTAGTAAAGTAAAATGTAGTAAAGTGTAGTAAAGCAAAGTAAAGTGTAGTAAAGAGTAGTAAAGTGTAGTAAAGTGAAGTGTAGTAAAGTAAAGAGTAGTAAAGTGTAGTAAAGTAAAGAGTAGTAAAGTAAAGTGTAGTAAAGTAAAGAGTAGTAAAGTGTAGTAAAGTGTAGTGTCGTAAAAGTGTAGTAAAGTAAAATGTAGTAAAGTGTAGTAAAGTAAAGAGTAGTAAAGTAAAGTGTAGTAAAGTAAAGTGTAGTAAAGTGTAGCAAAGTGTAGTAAAGTGTAGTGTCGTAAAAGTGTAGTAAAGTAAAGTGTAGTAAAGTAAAATGTAGTAAAGTGTAGTAAAGTCAAGTGTAGTAAAGTAAAGTGTAGTAAAGTAAAGAGTAGTAAAGTAAAGTGTAGTAAAGTAAAGTGTCGTAAAGTGTAGTAAAGTAAAGTGTAGTAAAGTAAAGTGTCGTAAAGTGTAGTAAAGTGTCGTAAAGTAAAGTGTGGTAAAGTGTAGTAAAGTAAAGTGTAGTAAAGTAAAGAGTAGTAAAGTAAAGTGTAGTAAAGTAAAGTGTAGTAGTGTCGTAAAGTAAAGAGTAGTAAAGTAAAGTGTAGTAAAGTAAAGAGTAGTAAAGTGTAGTAAAGTGTAGTAAAGTAAAAGTGTAGTAAAGTAAAATGTAGTAAAGTGTAGTAAAGTAAAGAGTAGTAAAGTAAAGTGTAGTAAAGTAAAGTGTAGTAAAGTGTAGCAAAGTGGAGTAAAGTGTAGTGTCGTAAAAGTGTAGTAAAGTAAAGTGTAGTAAAGTAAAATGTAGTAAAGTGTAGTAAAGTCAAGTGTAGTAAAGTAAAGAGTAGTAAAGTAAAGTGTAGTAAAGTAAAGAGTAGTAAAGTAAAGAGTAGTAAAGTAAAGAGTAGTAAAGTGTAGTAAAGTGTAGTAAAGTAAAATGTAGTAAAGTGCAGTAAAGTAAAGAGTAGTAAAGTAAAGTGTAGTAAAGTAAAGTGTAGTAAAGTGTAGTAAAGTGTAGTGTCGTAAAAGTGTAGTAAAGTAAAGTGTAGTAAAGTAAAATGTAGTAAAGTGTAGTAAAGTCAAGTGTGGTAAAGTAAAGAGTAGTAAAGTAAAGTGTAGTAAAGTGTAGTGTCGTAAAAGTGTAGTAAAGTGTAGTAAAGTGTAGTGTCGTAAAAGTGTAGTAAAGTGTAGTAAAGTAAAGAGTAGTAAAGTAAAGTGTAGTAAAGTAAAGAGTAGTAAAGTGTAGTAAAGTGTAGTGTCGTAAAAGTGTAGTAACGTAAAATGTAGTAAATTGTAGTAAAGTAAAGAGTAGTAAAGTGTAGTAAAGTAAAGTGTAGTAAAGTAAAATGTAGTAAAGTGTAGTGTCGTAAAAGTGTAGTAAAGTAAGGTGTAGTAAAGTAAAATGTAGTAAAGTGTAGTAAAGTCAAGTGTAGTAAAGTAAAGAGTAGTAAAGTAAAGTGTAGTAAAGTAAAGAGTAGTAAAGTGTAGTAAAGTGTAGTGTCGTAAAAGTGTAGTAAAGTAAAGTGTAGTAAAGTAAAATGTAGTAAAGTGTAGTAAAGTCAAGTGTGGTAAAGTAAAGAGTAGTAAAGTAAAGTGTAGTAAAGTGTAGTGTCGTAAAAGTGTAGTAAAGTGTAGTAAAGTGTAGTGTCGTAAAAGTGTAGTAAAGTAAAGTGTAGTAAAGTAAAGAGTAGTAAAGTAAAGTGTAGTAAAGTAAAGAGTAGTAAAGTGTAGTAAAGTGTAGTGTCGTAAAAGTGTAGTAACGTAAAATGTAGTAAATTGTAGTAAAGTAAAGAGTAGTAAAGTGTAGTAAAGTAAAGTGTAGTAAAGTAAAATGTAGTAAAGTGTAGTGTCGTAAAAGTGTAGTAAAGTAAGGTGTAGTAAAGTAAAATGTAGTAAAGTGTAGTAAAGTCAAGTGTAGTAAAGTAAAGAGTAGTAAAGTGTAGTAAAGTAAAATGTAGTAAAGTGTAGTAAAGTGTAGTAAAGTGTAGTGTCGTAAAAGTGTAGTAAAGTAAAGTGTAGTAAAGTAAAGAGTAGTAAAGTAAAGTGTAGTAAAGTAAAGAGTAGTAAAGTGTAGTAAAGTGTAGTGTCGTAAAAGTGTAGTAAAGTAAAATGTAGTAAAGTGTAGTAAAGTCAAGTGTAGTAAAGTAAAGAGTAGTAAAGTAAAGTGTAGTAAAGTAAAGTGTAGTAAAGTGTAGTGTCGTAAAAGTGTAGTAAAGTAAAATGTAGTACAGTAAAGTGTAGTAAAGTGTAGTAAAGTAAAGTGTAGTAAAGTAAAATGTAGTAAAGTAAAGTGTCGGAAAGTGTAGTAAAGTAAAGTGTAGTAAAGTAAAGTGTAGTAAAGTAACGTAGGCTAACAGAGGGATTTGTGACAGAAAACAACATCAATTGAGTCCCGGTCCTGGTCTTGCTGACTTTATGAGCAGAGTCAGCTGGTCCTGCAGGCTCAGACCACAGTGCTCCGCTGCAGGCTGAAACGGCTTGACTCGGTGTCTCTTTAGCCGACCGCAGCTCGGGTTAGCATCTTCATCACAGGTAAAGGTGTGTTTAAACTGATGCCTTGCTGTCTTAAGTCCAGGATAACTAAAAGAAGGGGGCTGTGGTGGTGACTCGGGATAAAGTGAGCGGCTGTAAACACAGTAGACTCCCGACAGTATCACCGCTAAAGCTGATAAACACTTTCTACTTCCGACAAGTTCTTCACAATAAAAGTCCCCTTCCTATCTGTAGTTGAAGTGCTTTTAATGTGAAACATTCATATCAGGAAATGGGGTGTTTACAGCAGTAGCAACTTAACACAACTCGTCTGAAATAACCCTGAACAAAGCTCACAGCTAAAGGCTACAACGTCCTGAGAAGGGAACACACAGAGACTTAAAAACATCTTTCTCTCTTATAATAAACTAAACACACAGAGACTTAAAAACATCTTTCTCTCTTATAATAAACTAAACACACAGAGACTTAAAAACATCTTTCTCTCTTATTATAAACTAAACACACAGAGACTTAAAAACATCTTTCTCTCTTATAATAAACTAAACACACAGAGACTTAAAAACATCTTTCTCTCTTATTATAAACTAAACACACAGAGACTTAAAAACATCTTTCTCTCTTATTATAAACTAAACACACAGAGACTTAAAAACATCTTTCTCTCTTATAATAAACTAAACACACAGAGACTTAAAAACATCTTTCTCTAGTATAATAAACTAAACACACAGAGACTTAAAAACATCTTTCTCTCTTATAATAAACTAAACACACAGAGACTTAAAAACATCTTTCTCTAGTATAATAAACTAAACACACAGAGACTTAAAAACATCTTTCTCTCTTATAATAAACTAAACACACAGAGACTTAAAAACATCTTTCTCTAGTATAATAAACTAAACACACAGAGACTTAAAAACATCTTTCTCTCTCATGATAAACTAAACACACAGAGACTTAAAAACATCTTTCTCTCTTATAATAAACTAAACACACACAGACTTAAAAACATCTTTCTCTCTTATAATAAACTAAACACACAGAGACTTAAAAACATCTTTCTCTCTTATAATAAACTAAACACACAGAGACTTAAAAACATCTTTCTCTAGTATAATAAACTAAACACACAGAGACTTAAAAACATCTTTCTCTAGTATAATAAACTAAACACACAGAGACTTAAAAACATCTTTCTCTCTTATAATAAACTAAACACACAGAGACTTAAAAACATCTTTCTCTAGTATAATAAACTAAACACACAGAGACTTAAAAACTACTTTTTACCTATACTGTAGGCTTCCTATATAATGTATTAATTTTAACTTACAATGTACAGATATTGATAATGACATTGTTGTCTAAATCACTTTTTAAATTGTACAAAAGGAGTTCATATTTATAAGACTGTTTGACTTGAAAATGTCAACAGTGCAGTAAAATAGAAAACTGAGGATGAATCATGATGCATAGTGATATCGAATCGAATCGAATTGTTGACTGGATAATCGTAATCAAATTGAATCGTAAGACCAGTGAAGATGCACAGCTCTAGTAAGTGTAGTAAAGTGTAGTAAAGTGAAGAAAAGTGTAGTAAAGTATAGTAAAGTGTAGTAAAGTTGTGTTACCTGCAGCATGGACTTTGGATGAGGCAGCTCCTCGCCCTGATAGATCTTAATGTATGCCTGAAATAAAACAGAGACATCAATTTAAATGAATCTGTTAAATATTCAACACTTAAAGGGAAACTTCACCGGGCGAAATGAGGATCTGTTTTTAAATTGGGTCATATCAATTTTTAAGTTGGTGTCATCTTGACCGAGAAAAGGCAGAAAGTGTATTTTTGGCTCATCTTGATGAAAGACAACAACTCCCAGAATGCACAGCAGCGCAGGCCACTCCCACTAATCTAGAGAACACCCCCTACCAAGTTAGCTACTACCAGACTGAGGTGAAATGCATTTCACACACATTCTACTGAGAAGTTAGGCCCTGTGTCCAGCTGGCAGTAAAGCGCTGGCTGTGCGCTGGGGAGTGTCTGCATGAAGCGTTTGTGACCTGAGAAGAAAAGCGCTGCACGTCTTTTCAAAATGGAAGATATTCCCTGTATTATAGCGACCTACAGATTGTACCTTGTACTCACATCCTCCTCATGTCTGCTGGTGTAAAAAACTATCTCAAATATAAAACATGCAGTACAAAGTAACGGAGCTGTGTAGGTCATACAGCTATTCATTAAACTATTGTCATGGAGACACTCCCGAGCGCACAGCCAGCGCTTTACTGCCCTGAAGAAAACATCAGGTGGACACGAGGCCTTAGTTGTCAAATTCATTAAGACTTGTGAAGAACTCTTTGTTTTTATTTAAAATGGTGAATGATTTCTTTATTTTGTTGTTTCCTGTCTTCAGCTTCCTCACGCTGACACACAAACAGACATTAACGTGTGTGTTTGTGTGTTTCCTGTTCTCACCTTGAAGTACTCCAGCAGACCTCTGCAGGTGATCTCGCTGCCGTTGATCTCCTTCACGTCGATGCTTCCAGGGCTGAGCAGCCACGGAACGAGAACCTTCAGGTTATTCAGGAAGTCTCCGTCGATCTCTGAATGGATGACACAAAAAACCACAGGTGAGTATCTGATCCAGACCACAGGTGAGAATCTGATCCAGACCACAGGTGAGTATCTGATCCAGACTACAGGTGAGTTACTGATCCAGAACACAGGTGAGTTAATTATCCAGACCACAAATGAGTATCTGATCCAGAACACAGGTGAATTACTGATCCAGACCACAGGTGAATATCTGATCCAGACCACAGGTGAGTTACTGATCCAGACCACAGGTGAGTTACTGATCCAGACCACAGGTGAGTATCTGATCCAGACCACAGGTGAGCATCTGATCCAGACCACAGGTGAGTATCTGATCCAGACCACAGGTGAATATCTGATCCAGATCACAGGTGAGTATCTGATCCAGACCACAGGTGAGTTAAGGATCCAGACCACAGGTGAGTTAAGGATCCAGAACACAGGTGAGCATCTGATCCAGACCACAGGTGAGTTGCTGATCCAGACCACAGGTGAGTATCTGATCCAGACCACAGGTGAGTTACTGATCCAGACTTCAAGTGAGTGAGGGATCCAGAACACAGGTGAGTTACTGATCCAGAACACAGGTGAGTTAATGATCTAATGATCCAGACCACAGGTGAGTTACTGATCCAGACTTCAAGTGAGTGAGGGATCCAGAACACAGGTGAGTATCAGATCGAGGCCACAGGTGAGTTACTGATCCAGACCACAGGTGAGTTAAGGATCCAGACCACAGATGAGTTAAGGATCCAGAACACAGGTGAGTTACTGATCCAGACTACAGGTGAGTTAAGAATCCAGAACACAGGTGAGTTACTGATCCAGACCACAGGTGAGTTACTGATCCAGACTACAGGTGAGTTAAGGATCCAGACCACAGGTGAGTATCTGATCCAGACCACAGGTGAGTATCTGATCCAGACCACAGGTGAGCATCTGATCCAGATCACAGGTGAGTATCTGATCCAGACCACAGGTGAATATCTGATCCAGATCACAGGTGAGTATCTGATCCAGACCACAGGTGAGTTAAGGATCCAGAACACAGGTGAGCATCTGATCCAGACCACAGGTGAGTTGCTGATCCAGACCACAGGTGAGTATCTGATCCAGACCACAGGTGAGTTACTGATCCAGACTTCAAGTGAGTGAGGGATCCAGAACACAGGTGAGTTACTGATCCAGAACACAGGTGAGTTAATGATCTAATGATCCAGACCACAGGTGAGTTAATGATCCAGACCACAGGTGAGTATCAGATCGAGGCCACAGGTGAGTTACTGATCCAGACCACAGGTGAGTTAAGGATCCAGACCACAGATGAGTTAAGGATCCAGAACACAGGTGAGTTACTGATCCAGACTACAGGTGAGTTAAGAATCCAGAACACAGGTGAGTTACTGATCCAGACCACAGGTGAGTTACTGATCCAGACTACAGGTGAGTTAAGGATCCAGACCACAGGTGAGTATCTGATCCAGACCACAGGTGAGTATCTGATCCAGACCACAGGTGAGCATCTGATCCAGATCACAGGTGAGTATCTGATCCAGACCACAGGTGAATATCTGATCCAGATCACAGGTGAGTATCTGATCCAGACCACAGGTGAGTTAAGGATCCAGAACACAGGTGAGCATCTGATCCAGACCACAGGTGAGTTGCTGATCCAGACCACAGGTGAGTATCTGATCCAGACCACAGGTGAGTTACTGATCCAGACTTCAAGTGAGTGAGGGATCCAGAACACAGGTGAGTTACTGATCCAGAACACAGGTGAGTTAATGATCTAATGATCCAGACCACAGGTGAGTTAATGATCCAGACCACAGGTGAGTATCAGATCGAGGCCACAGGTGAGTTACTGATCCAGACCACAGGTGAGTTAAGGATCCAGACCACAGATGAGTTAAGGATCCAGAACACAGGTGAGTTACTGATCCAGACTACAGGTGAGTTAAGAATCCAGAACACAGGTGAGTTACTGATCCAGACCACAGGTGAGTTACTGATCCAGACTACAGGTGAGTTAAGGATCCAGACCACAGGTGAGTATCTGATCCAGAACACAGGTGAGATAATGATCCAGACCACACTTGAGTATATGATCCAGATCATAGGTGAGTATCTGATCCAGACCACAAGTGAGTATCTGATCCAGAACACAGGTGAGTTACTGATCCGGACTACAGGTGAGTTAAAGATCCAGACTACAGGTGAGTTAATGGTCCAGATCATAGGTGAGTATCTGATCCAGACCACAAGTGAGTATCTGATCCAGAACACAGATGAGTTACTGATCCGGACTACAGGTGAGTTAAGGATCCAGAACACAGGTGAGTTAAGGATCCAGAACACAGGTGAGTTAAGCATCCAGACCACAGGTGAGTATCTGATCCAGACAACAGGTGAGTTACTGATCCAGACTTCAAGTGAGTGAGGGATCCAGAACACAGGTGAGTTAATGATCCAGACCACAGGTGAGTTAATGATCCAGACCACAGGTGAGTATCAGATCGAGGCCACAGGTGAGTATCTGATCCAGAACACAGGTGAGTTAGTGATCCAGACTACAGGTGAGTTAAGGATCCAGATCACAGGTGAGTTAATGATCCAGACCACAGGTGAGTTAATGATCCAGATCACAGGTGAGTTAATGATCCAGAACACAGGTGAGTTAAGGATCCAGAACACAGGTGAGTTAAGGATCCAGACCACAGGTGAATATCTCATCCACACCACAGGTGAGTATCTGATCCAGACCACAGGTGAGTATATGATCCAGACCAAAGGTGAGTATCTGATCCAGAACACAGGTGAATATCTCATCCACACCACAGGTGAGTATCTGATCCAGACCACAGGTGAGTTAATGATCCAGACCACAGTTGAGTATATGATCCAGATCATAGGTGAGTATCTGATCCAGACCACAAGTGAGTATCTGATCCAGAACACAGGTGAGTTACTGATCCGGACTACAGGTGAGTTAAGGATCCAGAACACAGGTGAGTTAAGGATCCAGACTACAGGTGAGTTAATGGTCCAGACCACAGGTGAGTATATGATCCAGACCACAGGTGAGTTACTGATCCAGACTACAGGTGAGTTAAGGATCCAGAACACAGGTGAGTATCTGATCCAGAACACAGGTGAGATAATGATCCAGACCACAGTTGAGTATATGATCCAGATCATAGGTGAGTATCTGATCCAGACCACAAGTGAGTATCTGATCCAGAACACAGGTGAGTTACTGATCCGGACTACAGGTGAGTTAAGGATCCAGACCACAGGTGAGTTAAGGATCCAGACTACAGGTGAGTTAATGGTCCAGACCACAGGTGAGTATATGATCCAGACCACAGGTGAGTTACTGATCCGGACTACAGGTGAGTTAAGGATCCAGAACACAGGTGAGTTAAGGATCCAGACCACAGGTGAGTTAATGGTCCAGACCACAGGTGAGTATATGATCCAGACCACAGGTGAGTTACTGATCCAGACTACAGGTGAGTTAAGGATCCAGACCACAGGTGAGTATCTGATCCAGAACACAGGTGAGATAATGATCCAGACCACAGTTGAGTATATGATCCAGATCATAGGTGAGTATCTGATCCAGACCACAAGTGAGTATCTGATCCAGAACACAGGTGAGTTACTGATCCGGACTACAGGTGAGTTAAGGATCCAGAACACAGGTGAGTTAAGGATCCAGACTACAGGTGAGTTAATGGTCCAGACCACAGGTGAGTATATGATCCAGACCACAGGTGAGTTACTGATCCGGACTACAGGTGAGTTAAGGATCCAGAACACAGGTGAGTTAAGGATCCAGACTACAGGTGAGTTAATGGTCCAGACCACAGGTGAGTATATGATCCAGAACACAGGTGAGTTACTGATCCGGACTACAGGTGAGTTAAGGATCCAGAACACAGGTGAGTTAAGGATCCAGACTACAGGTGAGTTAATGGTCCAGACCACAGGTGAGTATATGATCCAGAACACAGGTGAGTTACTGATCCAGACTACAGGTGAGTTAAGGATCCAGAACACAGGTGAGTTAAGGATCCAGACCACAGGTGAATATCTCATCCACACCACAGGTGAGTATCTGATCCAGACCACAGGTGAGTATATGATCCAGACCAAAGGTGAGTATCTGATCCAGAACACAGGTGAATATCTCATCCACACCACAGGTGAGTATCTGATCCAGACCACAGGTGAGTATATGATCCAGACCAAAGGTGAGTATCTGATCCAGAACACAGGTGAGTTACTGATCCGGACTACAGGTGAGTTTAGGATCCAGAACACAGGTGAGTTAAGGATCCAGACTACAGGTGAGTTAATGGTCCAGACCACAGGTGAGTATCTGATCCAGAACACAGGTGAGTTAAGGATCCAGACCACAGGTGAGTATCTGATCCAGAACACAGGTGAGTTACTGATCCAGACCACAGGTGAGTATCTGATTTAGAACACAGGTGAGTTAATGATCCAGACTACAGGTGAGTTAAGGATCCAGAACACAGGTGAGTATCTGATCCAGATCTCAGGTGAGTTAATGATCCAAACCACAGGTGAGTATCTGATCCAGACCACAAGTGAGTTAATGATCCAGACTACAGGTGAGTTAAGGATCCAGAACACAGGTGAGTTAAGGATCCAGAACACAGGTGAGTTACTGATCCAGACCACAGGTGAGTTAAGGATCCAGACCACAGGTGAGTTAAGGATCCAGAACACAGGTGAGTTACTGATACAGACTACAGGTGAGTTAAGAATCCAGAACACAGGTGAGTTACTGATCCAGACCACAGGTGAGTTAATGATCCAGACCACAGGTGAGTTAATGATCCAGATCACAGGTGAGCATCTGATCCAGACCACAGGTTAGTATCTGATCCAGAACACAGGTGAGTTACTGATCCAGACTACAGGTGAGTTAAGCATCCAGACCACAGGTGAGTATCTGATCCAGACCACAGGTGAGTTACTGATCTAGACTACAGGTGAGTTAAGGATCCAGACCACAGGTGAGTATCTGATCCAGACCACAGGTGAGTTACTGATCCAGACCGCAGGTGAGTATCTGATTTAGAACACAGGTGAGTTAATGATCCAGACCACAGGTGAGTTAATGATCCAGATCACAGGTGAGCATCTGATCCAGATCTCAAGCGAGTTACTGATTCAGACCACAGGTGAGTATCTGATCCAGACCACAGGTGAGTATCTGATCCAGAACACAGGTGAGTTACTGATCCAGACCACAGGTGAGTTAAGGATCCAGACCACAGGTGAGTTAAGGATCCAGAACACAGGTGAGTTACTGATCCAGACCACAGGTGAGTTAATGATCCAGATCACAGGTGAGCATCTGATCCAGACTACAGGTGAGTTACTGATCCAGAACACAGGTGAGTTACTGATCCAGACTACAGGTGAGTTAAGGATCCAGACCACAGGTGAGTATCTGATCCAGAACACAGGTGAGTTACTGATCTAGACTACAGGTGAGTTAAGGATCCAGACCACAGGTGAGTATCTGATCCAGACCACAGGTGAGTTACTGATCCAGACCGCAGGTGAGTATCTGATTTAGAACACAGGTGAGTTAATGATCCAGACCACAGGTGAGTTAATGATCCAGACCACAGGTGAGTTAATGATCCAGACCACAGGTGAGTTACTGATCCAGACCACAGGTGAGTTACTGATCCAGACCGCAGGTGAGTATCTGATTTAGAACACAGGTGAGTTAATGATCCAGACCACAGGTGAGTTAATGATCCAGACCACAGGTGAGTTACTGATCCAGACCACAGGTGAGTTAAGGATCCAGACCACAAGTGAGTTAATGATCCAGACCACAGGTGAGTTAATGATCCAGACCACAGGTGAGTTACTGATCCAGACCACAGGTGAGTTAAGGATCCAGACCACAAGTGAGTTAAGGATCCAGACCACAGGTGAGTATATGATCCAGATCACAGGTGATTATCTGATCCAGAACACAGGTGAATATCTGATCCAGACCACAGGTGATGGAGGTGTGGTTATAGTGACATCACCACAAGGCTTTGGGGAGGGGCATAATGTGAGATCTGGTCCTGGAGCCAGGAGGTCCTGGATTTGGCCCTGGGTGAGAACATGTTTATCAAACAGTGTAGCAGGCGGAGGCCTCGTACCTTTAATGCGTCCATCAAAGTGCGGGTTGGTGGCCACCTTGAGGCCGGGGTGAGGCATCAGGAAACAGGATATGTTGGTGAAACACGAGTGGATGTGTTTACGGACGTTCTGCAGCTCCTCATGCTGGTTCTCTGAAATCTGAAACACAAACAAGAGGCCCACTGTGGTGTCAACAGAGAGATGTTCAACATGATCATTCTGGTCTTCAGCAGAGACTGACACCTGACGATCACTCACCTTCAGTCTCTTCTCCAGGAACTTCATCCCTCCCTCCTGACCGTACGGGAACTCGTACGGAAAGCTCCAATCTCTTACCAGGAAGATCATCGACTGAGAACGAAGAGGTGAACTGTCATTCATGTTATTCATTAATGTCTCCCTCCTCAGGACAAACAACCTAAGAGATCATATGTCACTGGGCTGTTCACCTCCCTCCACTGGCTCCCAGTTACTGCTCACATCAAATTTAAAACTCTGCTGCTCGCTTACAAAACAGAGACAGAAACGTCTCCTCCTTACTGTAACTCTCTCATCCAGGTCTACACTTAGTGTTTTTTTTTCTAGATCCTTGCTTGTGTTCTACTTACTCTCTGATGTACGTCGCTTTGGATAAAAGCGTCTGCTAAGTGAATTGTAGAATTTAACAAACACATAAAAACGATCAAAACATCTTGTCCATCGAATAAAATCGGCTTTTTGTCTTCACCCTGAAACTACGAATCAAATCGATCTTTTTTTTTTTTTTTTTTTTATGATTTATTTTTGTGCTGTTTGTGCCTTTAATGGAGAGACAGGAGAGTGGATAGAGTTGGAAATCAGAGAGTGAAAGCGTGGGGAATGACATGCAGGAAAGGAGCCACAGGCTGGATTCGAACCTGGGCCGCCCGCTTGGAGGACTACAGCCTCCGTACATGGGGCGCGCACACTAACCACTAGTCCACCAGGCCACCAGTGCCCCTCAAATTGATCTTTGAAGTTAAATGTGTCTGAGTGGGCTTACTGTGTCTCTGACCTGAACATATAATATATACATACATAACAAATCTACATGAACTTCATTTCATTCATCAGGTGAACTTTGACTGAAGGTGTGACGGCAGTCTTTACAGACCCAACCTCCGACCCGACGCCCACCATGTTCAGTGTGACTGCGTTCATCCAGGAGGTGAACATGAGACGACTTACCTGGAATGGTTTGAGGAAAGTCTCCTCCATGGCCAGTCTGCCGTATTCTGTGAAAAGCTGAAACCAGAGAACGAGAAGAGACTGAGGATGTGATTTAGAAACCTGTGGACATGCACGGCTGCATACTGATGATATGTAGGAGGCGGTTAATACAGCCGGACAGCTGCAGATGTTTAAAATGGTGGCTGTGATTAAATGCTGGAGGCTCAGAGAATAGGTCGAAGTTTCACCTGCAGGTGCTGGAGGTCGTCCTCTTGGACGTTCTGGGAGATGTTGTACACCTGAAGAAAAGAAAACAGTTACTTATCGATGAGTATCCGTTAATAAGAAATATGACTTTCAACTAGAAACAGAACAAGCCTAACTTTCTACAGTTAAACTTTAGCTTAGCATGTTTGAGCTAAATGCTACAAGCTAACATCCTCCTGATCAAATTGCTAAAGTTATTAGCATGCTAACTATGGAGCTGATCATGTCTCAGGTAGTGTACCTGCATGGAGCTGATCATGTCTCAGGTAGTGTACCTGCATGGAGCTGATCATGTCTCAGGTAGTGTACCTGCATGGAGCTGATCATGTCTCAGGTAGTGTACCTGCATGGAGCTGATCATGTCTCAGGTAGTGTACCTGCATGGAGCTGATCATGGTGCTCAGAGCAAACACGGTGGCTGAATCTCTCAGAGTCGATTGGCTGTCAAACGTCCCCTGTGTGTCCATCAGCAGCACAGCCACCTGTCAGGTAAAACAAACGGGAAGGTGAGCTCTGAGGAGATGGCTGTTCATGTTTTCTGTGTTTCGTTTAAGGAAGTGACCATATTTGGGTGGAGGGTGGAGGGTCTCTAGCTCCACCCTGTTGTCCAAATATGGTCACTTCTGTCTCTAACATCTTTTAATATGAGCCTTTATATGACGGCCTCTAGTGGACACCTGAGGAACTGCAGTGTTGTGCACTTCTTTGGTTAAGATGGAGGTTTCTGATTGGATTAAACAGAGAGAGAGAGAGAGAGAGAGAGAGAGAGAGAGAGAGAGAGAGAGAGAGAGAGAGAGAGAGAGAGAGACGCCCTGCTGACAGGACGAGTTAATACATGAAGACATGATGTCACACTAAAGGTCAACTCATTAAACCTCGTCAACGGTAACTTCACCTTCCTCCCGTCTGGTTTGTCCACCAGGAAGACCTCGCTCCAGATCTGGATCCCTGTGGTCTCCCTCTCCGAGCCCCCCCTCCAGGAGAAGCCGGTCAGAGGCTCGTCTGAGTCTCCGAGCCAGCCGTCAGACGCCTGAACAACAAGACAACATGAGTGTGTAATATCTCATTCAACAAGAGAGGGCGCTGTTTCTGTCTCAACATGATGGACTGAAGACGCTCTTTAAGAACCTGAACCCGGAGGAGGACCTCATGTTAGGGAGGGTCTCACCTGAACCCGGAGGAGGACCTCATGTTAGGGGGGTCTCACCTGAACCCGGAGGAGGACCTCATGTTAGGGAGGGTCTCACCTGAACCCGGAGGAGGACCTCATGTTAGGGAGGGTCTCACCTGAACCCGGAGGAGGACCTCATGTTAGGGGGGTCTCACCAAGTCTCACCTGTTTGTACATGTAGCGCAGCATGAAGTCCATGAGGAAGGACTTGCCCTTGCGGAAAGCTCCGGCCACAGAGATGGCGACCACCTGGCGGTCTCTGACCTCCTCAGCGAGTAGGATGCGACTCAGCGCCACCTCATCAAGCTCGAAGGTGTGGTCGTCTTTGACCAGCAGCACCTGCACAGGTCGGGCGCGTCCATCAGGCTCCTCCTCCTCTGAGCTCCAGTCGTACACATTTTTATCACTGAGGGACCCTGGAGGAGGAAGAGGAAGAGGAAGAGGAGGAAGAAGAGGAAGAGGAAGAGGAGGAGGAAGAGGAAGAGGAGGAAGAGGAGGAGGAGGAGGAAGAGGAAGAAGAGGAAGAGGAAGAAGAGGAAGAGGAGGAGGAAGAGGAAGAGGAGGAAGAGGAGGAGGAGGAGGAGGAAGAGGAGGAAAAGGAGGAGGAGGAAGAGGTGGAGGAGGAAGAGGAGGAAGAGGAGGAGGAAGAGGAAGAGGAAGAGGAAGAGGAGGAGGAAGAGGAAGAGGAGGAAGAGGAGGAGGAGGAGGAGGAGGAGGAGGAAGAAGAGGAAGAGGAAGAGGAAGAAGAGGAAGAGGAGGAGGAAGAGGAAGAGGAGGAAGAGGAGGAGGAGGAGGAGGAAGAGGAGGAAAAGGAGGAGGAGGAAGAGGTGGAGGAGGAAGAGGAGGAAGAGGAGGAGGAAGAGGAAGAGGAAGAGGAGGAGGAGGAAGAGGAGGAGGAAGAGGAGGAAGAGGAGGAAAAGGAGGAGGAGGAAGAGGTGGAGGAGGAAGAGGAGGAAGAGGAGGAGGAGGAGGAGGAAGAGGAGGAAGAGGAGGAGAAGGAGGAAGAGGTGGAGGAGGAAGAGGAGGAAGAGGAAGAAGAGGAGGAGGAAGAGGAGGAGGAAGAGGAGGAAAAGGAGGAGGAGGAAGAGGTGGAGGAGGAAGAGGAGGAGGAAGAGGAGGAAAGGAGGAGGAGGAAGAGGTGGAGGAGGAAGAGGAGGAAGAGGAGGAGGAGGAAGAGGTGGAGGAGGAAGAGGAGGAAGAGGAGGAGGAGGAGGAAGAGGAGGAGGAGGAAGAGGAGGAAGAGGAGGAGGAGGAGGAAGAGGAGGAGGAAGAGGAGGAGGAGGAAGAGGAGGAAGAGGAGGAGGAGGAGGAGGAGGAAGAGATACAGAGTGTAAACATTTGTTTAATGTCACAGCGCCCCCTACAGGCTGGGTGTTGCTGCAGCGTGTTTCAGGTAACGTTCAGGTGAGTTCCCCGCCGTAGTAAAGAGGCGGTACAATCAGAGACGTCACCTTTAAAGCTCGTCTGAAGACGTTTAACTTGAAATCAGAACCTCTGAGGTCCATTAACACAGGAAACAGGAAGTGGAGGCCATTATCACTTCCTGCCGCCTGGATCAATATTTTTATGAGCCGATACGTCTTCTGATGAGTCATCTCGTGTTTCCATCACGTCCAATCAGAGTCTGACTGATCAGTGTTTACATCCTCCTCTCTGACTTCCTGTGTGATGTTCCTCCTGTCAGTATGTGTGTGTGTGTGTGTGTGTGTGTGTGTGTGTGTGTGTGTGTGTGTGTGTGTGTGTGTGTGTGTGTGTGTGTGTGTGTGTGTGTGTGTGTGTGTGTGTGTGTGTGTGTGTGTGTGCGCTTCTATCTCTCCATCTGCTCTGTGAGGACACGCTGCTGTTTGAGGAAGAGACACGAGCAAACACACTAAAAGATTTACGCAGGACGCCGAAAATGCAGGGTGAATAATTTAAGGCACACAGGCACACACACACACACACACACACACACACACACACACACACACACACACACACACACACACACACACACACACACACACACACACAGAATGATGAAGGTGAGGAGAGGATGATGAAGTTGAGGAGAGGATGATGAAGGTTATTTACAGGCCGGAAGTACAGATCACCATTTAACCCTCAATAATCCTCCCAGTAAATCTTTATAACATGAATCATCACATTTATAACATGAATCATCACATTTATAACATGAATCATCACATTTATAACATGAATCATCACATTTATAAGAGGAATCATCACATTTATAAGAGGAATCATCACATTTATAAGAGGAATCATCACATTTATAAGAGGAATCTGCTTTCTAATGAGCGTTGTGGTTTTTAGAAACTGAAGATGCGTTCAGGAACACATTTCTCCTCTGCAGCTTCACGGTGAACCGTAAACACGTTCATAGAGATTCGTCGTGATGAAAACGAGGCTTCATCATGGAGTCTGAGACAAACATGTTCTGCAGAGCTCTCTCCTCCTCAGTGTGCGTCAAAGAAAAGAATAAAAAACGAGGCGTACGTACACTCACCCCAGCTGTCTCGTTCTTTGCGGTGCTTCGCCATCTTCCGGTCCCGGTGTCCCTCGGTGTGTTATCAGCGGCCCTACTCGGCGGTCATGAGTGTCGGGAGGTTTGGGAGGATGCTCCGCCGAATCGATGCTCGCATCAGGAGGATGATGGAGGTTTTTTTTATTATTATTCCAAGCGTGATGCAGCGTCCCAACATGCGGCTAGGGGGCGCTGTTGTCCAGTAGCACTCGGTGTGTTTAGCAGCAGAGGGATTAATGTGTTGAATCGTTTATTAATATCGTGTAACACTCCTACAGACAGCTGACATCATAATGTGTTCCAGGTGAAATCAAACCCTCATCCTGTCTGCTGTTAAAATGCTTTCTCACAGTCCGCCAACAGGGGGCGGTAACTACAAAGAGAATGGAACATGTGCTGCCTTCACATACCGTCGTTAATATTCCAGAGGTTGTGGAATTAGTTAGGACAAAACAATCAGTAGTGATATGAGGACAAGATATTATAATATATATTGTAGTAAAGGTTACTCTGATTAAAATGTTCTGAAGAAGAAATAAAATGTCACATTAATAAATCAATTCAAGTTAAACTAAAACTACTTTTTAAAGTTTATTCTTTCCCCTCACGTATTCCCCTGCATTCACCTGTAATGTGTCAGACAAACACCTGCAGGTTTCACCTGTAATGTGTCAGGGGTTAGGGGTCCAGCTCCACTTGCATCACCGGACATGTAGCGGTGTTTGGTTGTTGTGTTTTGACAGTAGATGTTCCGAGCTGACCGTGAAGGCAGCAGGATCCTGTAGCTGCGCCTCCTCAGAGATTAAACAGACTGATGATTTAAACAGAAGATAATTAACATTAAGAGTGATTATCATTAAGGATCATTAACATTAAGAGTGATTATCATTAAGGATCATTAACATTAAGAGTGATATCTGCCTTTATTAATGAAGTTTAGCGTTAATGTTTGAAACCTGTCACACTCGGTAAAGTCTCCTCTGAGCTGCAGCTCGACTCAACTTTATCACAGTTTCCTCGGTAACTAAAGAGCCTCCATTTTTACTTTGTCACCGATTATTCGACGCCATCGAGCCCTTACCGGCCCCGGGACCGGGTTTAAGATGCAGACCGGGCTCCTCGGCGGTGTTTGCAGCGTGAAAGGTAAGAACGGTTCAAGTTAGCAGCTTAGCTAGTTAGCTTTAGCCGTTAGCTCCTGTGTCAGACTGGACCCGGCTATTTACTGGAGTGACCAAAGAGTCTCAGCTAACGTCACCTACACCTGACCTAACTTCAACTATAGTTTGTTTTAAAGCGTGAGCTTCAGGTAGCTTTACTTTCATGTTAGTTTAATGACAGACAGACAGACAGGTGAGGTTAAGCAATAACAGACAGGTGACAGGTGAGATAACTTTATCAGACAGCGAACTTTAAATAGACCACCGACTACTACCTGGACCACTTTAATATTATTAAACAATCACACCTGTAGCTGTGAGTTATTACTGACCACAGACTACTACCTGGACCACTTCAATATTATTAAACAATCACACCTGTAGCTGTGTGCGTTATTACTGACCACAGACTACTACCTGGACCACTTCAATATTTATAAAACAATCACACCTGTAGCTGTGTGAGTTATTACTGACCACAGACTACTACCTGGACCACTTCAATATTTATAAACCAATCACACCTGTAGCTGTGAGTTATTACTGACCACAGACTACTACCTGGACCACTTCAATATTATTAAACAATCACACCTGTAGCTGTGAGTTATTACTGACCACAGACTACTACCTGGACCACTTCAATATTTATAAACCAATCACACCTGTAGCTGTGTGAGTTATTACTGACCACCGACTACTACCTGGACCACTTCAATATTTGTAAAACAATCACACCTGTAGCTGTGAGTTATTACTGACCACCGACTACTACCTGGACCACTTCAATATTTATAAAACAATCACACCTGTAGCTGTGTGAGTTATTACTGACCACAGACTACTACCTGGACCACTTCAATATTTGTAAAACAATCACACCTGTAGCTGTGAGTTATTACTGACCACCGACTACTACCTGGACCACTTCAATATTTATAAAACAATCACACCTGTAGCTGTGTGCGTTATTACTGACCACAGACTACTACCTGGACCACTTTAATCTGACTATGTGGAGGGGTAGTGAGGTGAACCAGCTGGTGGAGGTTAGGCTCTTCTGTTCTGTTGATGTGTTTCAGTGTTTGTCGAGTTCTTTACTTTGACTTCAGTAAATATCTCCTGAACTCTTTCTTTGACGTCTGTCCCTCAGGTCATGGAGCGAGGAGAAGAACGGTCTGAGTAAACACTGGTTCATTAATATTCAGGACCTCTGCTTCATCAGAACACCCCCACCCCCTCCCCCCCTCCCCACCTCATCTGATCAGGCCAACTAAATGTAAAGGATCGATTGGTTCCAGCCACCATGGATCTCTTTCCCCGGCCCAGCGGAGAAATCCAGAGAAGAAACCCCCAACATGACTTTGAACTCATTCAGAGAGTCGGCAGCGGAACATACGGAGACGTCTACAAGGTACAGTGAACACATGATAACATGTGACCCACGCGTATGATGACATGAAGTTCAGTTTAACAGAGCCAGCTGCACAGCGGAGGACTGTTATACATCAAACATGTTGTGGAGACAGGTTTAACCTGCTTGAAAACTGAATTGAACCCATTATTACTCAGATTTAAGTCTTATTGATAGGTGATTTAAATGGACGGGTGCATGGCACTGTGCTCTCATAGTTTAATGAGTTTAAGAAATAATTATCCAAACACAATCCTTGAAACAAAACAACAGGATTGGTTCATATTTCCCTGCAGCCTGTGGGCTCTGGTGAGCTGTGTTTGTCGTGGTGAACAGAGACGTCCCAGCTGATCCTCAGTGTGATAGTCAAGGCAGCCTGTCACGGTCCCTCTCCATACAAAGGCTCTGTGGCCAACCTCCCTCCACCCCCACTCTCAGACAGGCTAGCAGAGGAATGCTGCGCCTGGTATTCTCCTACAGTACCAACGGTGAAATATGATCAGGCCCCTGTCCTAACATGCGTCTGTCTGAGGGTGTGTTCAGGGCCACTCTGACACCAGAAACACACCTTGAGTGCTTCCTCCAGTCCTCCTTCAGTCCTCATTCTGTCCTCCTTCAGCCCTCATTCTGTCCTCTTTCAGTCCTCATTCTGTCCTCTTTCAGTCCTCCTTCAGCCCTCATTCTGTCCTCTTTCAGTCCTCCTTCAGTCCTCATTCTGTCCTCTTTCAGTCCTCCTTCAGTCCTCATTCTGTCCTCCTTCAGTCCTCATTCTGTCACCAATCGGTCCTCCTTCAGTCCTCATTCTGTCCTTCTTCAGTCCCTCCTTCAGTCCTCATTCTGTTCTCCTTCAGTTGTCCTGTCCACCTTCAGTCCCTCCTTCAGTCACCAATCGGTCCCCCTTCAGTCCTCCTTCAGCCCTCATTCTGTCCTCTTTCAGTCCCTCCTTCAGTCCTCCTTCATTCCTCATTCTGTCCTCTTTCAGTCCTCCTTCAGCCCTCATTCTGTCCTCTTTCAGTCCTCCTTCAGTCCTCATTCTGTCCTCCTTCAGTCCTCCTTCAGTCCTCATTCTGTCCTCCTTCAGTCCTCATTCTGTCATCAATCGGTCCTCCTTCAGTCCTCATTCTGTCCTTCTTCAGTCCCTCCTTCAGTCCTCATTCTGTTCTCCTTCAGTTGTCCTGTCCACCTTCAGTCCCTCCTTCAGTCACCAATCGGTCCCCTTCAGTCCTCCTTCAGCCCTCATTCTGTCCTCTTTCAGTCCCTCCTTCAGTCCTCCTTCATTCCTCATTCTGTCCTCTTTCAGTCCTCCTTCAGCCCTCATTCTGTCCTCTTTCAGTCCTCCTTCAGTCCTTATTCTGTCCTCTTTCAGTCCTCCTTCAGTTCCTCCTTCTGTCCTCTTTCAGTCCTCCTTCAGCCCCTCCTTCAGTCCTCATTCTGTCCTTCTTCAGTCCCTCCTTCAGTTGTCCTGTCCACCTTCAGTCCTCCTTCAGTCACCAATCGGTCCCCCTTCAGTCCTCCTTCAGCCCTCATTCTTTCCTCATTCTGTCCTCTTTCAGTCCCTCCTTCAGTCCTCCTTCAGTCCTCATTCTGTCCTCTTTCAGTCCCTCCTTCAGTCCTCCTTCAGTCCTCATTCTGTCCTCTTTCAGTCCTCCTTCAGCCCTCATTCTGTCCTCTTTCAGTCCTCCTTCAGTCCTCATTCTGTCCTCTTTCAGTCCTCCTTCAGTCCTCATTCTGTCCTCCTTCAGTCCTCATTCTGTCACCAATCGGTCCTCCTTCAGTCCTCATTCTGTCCTTCTTCAGTCCCTCCTTCAGTCCTCATTCTGTTCTCCTTCAGTTGTCCTGTCCACCTTCAGTCCCTCCTTCAGTCACCAATCGGTCCCCCTTCAGTCCTCCTTCAGCCCTCATTCTGTCCTCTTTCAGTCCCTCCTTCAGTCCTCCTTCATTCCTCATTCTGTCCTCTTTCAGTCCTCCTTCAGCCCTCATTCTGTCCTCTTTCAGTCCTCCTTCAGTCCTCATTCTGTCCTCCTTCAGTCCTCCTTCAGTCCTCATTCTGTCCTCCTTCAGTCCTCATTCTGTCATCAATCGGTCCTCCTTCAGTCCTCATTCTGTCCTTCTTCAGTCCCTCCTTCAGTCCTCATTCTGTTCTCCTTCAGTTGTCCTGTCCACCTTCAGTCCCTCCTTCAGTCACCAATCGGTCCCCCTTCAGTCCTCCTTCAGCCCTCATTCTGTCCTCTTTCAGTCCCTCCTTCAGTCCTCCTTCATTCCTCATTCTGTCCTCTTTCAGTCCTCCTTCAGCCCTCATTCTGTCCTCTTTCAGTCCTCCTTCAGTCCTTATTCTGTCCTCTTTCAGTCCTCCTTCAGTTCCTCCTTCTGTCCTCTTTCAGTCCTCCTTCAGCCCCTCCTTCAGTCCTCATTCTGTCCTTCTTCAGTCCCTCCTTCAGTTGTCCTGTCCACCTTCAGTCCTCCTTCAGTCACCAATCGGTCCCCCTTCAGTCCTCCTTCAGCCCTCATTCTTTCCTCATTCTGTCCTCTTTCAGTCCCTCCTTCAGTCCTCCTTCAGTCCTCATTCTGTCCTCTTTCAGTCCCTCCTTCAGTCCTCCTTCAGTCCTCATTCTGTCCTCTTTCAGTCCTCCTTCAGCCCTCATTCTGTCCTCTTTCAGTCTTCCTTCAGTCCCTCCTTCAGTCCTCTTTCAGTCCTCTTTCAGTCTTCCTTCAGTCCCTCCTTCAGTCCTCATTCTGTCCTCCCTCAGTCCCTCCTTCAGTCCTCATTCTGTCCTCTTTCAGTCTTCCTTCAGTCCCTCCTTCAGTCCTCTTTCAGTCCTCCCCCGGTCCTCCTTCGGCCCTCCTTTAGGTAGTTAAAACTGTCCTGGTCTACAATGTCTCACTTCTCTTTCCTGGTTAAAGTTTGCTTGGTTTGTTGGTTTGGTTTTTTTCGTCCCAGGTAATGAGGAAGTCCTGGAGGTTGATTCTCACAGAGAAAAGTCCTAAGAGGGGGCCATGCTGGAGGCTTTTCTGGTTTACGGCTGATTTAGCTGCTCGCCTCACTCCCACGGATTAGAGACGTGGATTTGGAAGTCAGCATAAGTGACTTTAAAATAGAAAGTTCACAAACGATAGAGGGAGACCAGTTTGAACATTTCTGCTCTGTCATGAAGCTGAAGGAATAATTAACCGAGAAAAATGTTCTGTACAACACAAGAAACAGAAACGGACAACATGTACATCAGAGTATTTAAAGGAGCAATCTGTAACTCTGGCACCTAGTGGTTAAAATGGGTACTGCAGTCTAAATTCTAAACATTGTAGAGAGCTATTTCCCCCCCCCCCCTCTAGAGTCGATGCTCATGCAGGTTGCCATGTGGTGGACACTAAAGCTTCAGTGTTTATCTAGCTCTGCATGGGTCTGTAAACCTTTCTGTGTCTTTCAGGCGCGAAACATTCAAACTGGAGAGCTCGCCGCCGTGAAGATCATCAAACTGGAACCAGGTAAGAAAGATTGCCTCTACATCTTAACTATCCTCTAAATGTGCTGAATACGTACACCTGACTTCATCGCCATAAAAATAAAGAAAGACAGGAGGGTTTTTATGATCTTAGCTCTTATTTAAGGTGTTGGCATGTGATGATGTGAGCTCTTATTTAAGGTGTTGGCATGTGATGATGTGAGCTCTTATTTAAGGTGTTGGCATGTGATGATGTGAGCTCTTATTTAAGGTGTTGGCATGTGATGATGTGAGCTCTTATTTAAGGTGTTGGCATGTGATGATGTCAGAAGTCCCGCCCCTTCTTGATTCTGATTGGTTGGTGATGGAGAAGTGACATTGACAAGCATGGTGCTGTTCTCAATGTTTTAAACCCTGAGACACACTGATGATGTCACAGCATACTTAAAGAATCCTCAAGAAAATGTTGTACCTATTACAAGTCGGTCATACTTCCTCCACTTCCTGTTGTACCTCTGAGTATCCTCCACTTGCGTGCGTGCGTGCGTGCGTGTCTCTGTCTGTCTGTCTGTCTGTCAACTTTAATGTGAGGAAATGTGAGCTCTTATTAAAGTTGTTGGCATGTTATGATGTTATGATGTGAGCTCTTATTTAAGTTGTTGGCATGTTATGATGTTATGATGTGAACTCTTATTTAAGGTGTTGGCATGTTATGATGTGAACTCTTATTTAAGGTGTTGGCATGTTATGATGTGAACTCTTATTTAAGGTGTTGGCATGTTATGATGTGAACTCTTATTTAAGGTGTTGGCATGTTATGATGTGAGCTCTTATTTAAGTTGTTGGCATGTTATGATGTTATGATGTGAACTCTTATTTAAGGTGTTGGCATGTTATGATGTGAGCTCTTATTTAAGTTGTTGGCATGTTATGATGTTATGATGTGAACTCTTATTTAAGGTGTTGGCATGTTATGATGTTATGATGTGAACTCTTATTTAAGTTGTTGGCATGTTATGATGTGAACTCTTATTTAAGGTGTTGGCATGTTATGATGTGAACTCTTATTTAAGGTGTTGGCATGTTATGATGTGAGCTCTTATTTAAGTTGTTGGCATGTTATGATGTGAGCTCTTATTTAAGGTGTTGGCATGTTATGATGTGAACTCTTATTTAAGGTGTTGGCATGTTATGATGTGAGCTCTTATTTAAGTTGTTGGCATGTTATGATGTGAGCTCTTATTTAAGGTGTTGGCATGTTATGATGTGAACTCTTATTTAAGGTGTTGGCATGTTATGATGTGAGCTCTTATTTAAGTTGTTGGCATGTTATGATGTGAGCTCTTATTTAAGTTGTTGGCATGTTATGATGTTATGATGTTATGATGTGAACTCTTATTTAAGGTGTTGGCATGTTATGATGTTATGATGTGAACTCTTATTTAAGTTGTTGGCATGTTATGATGTGAGCTCTTATTTAAGGTGTTGGCATGTTATGATGTGAGCTCTTATTTAAGGTGTTGGCATGTTATGATGTGAACTCTTGTTTAAGGTGTTGGCATGTTATGATGTGAGCTCTTATTTAAGTTGTTGGCATGTTATGATGTTATGATGTGAGCTCTTATTTAAGTTGTTGGCATGTTATGATGTTATGATGTGAGCTCTTATTTAAGTTGTTGGCATGTTATGATGTTATGATGTGAACTCTTATTTAAGGTGTTGGCATGTTATGATGTGAACTCTTATTTAAGGTGTTGGCATGTTATGATGTGAGCTCTTGTTTAAGGTGTTGGCATGTTATGATGTTATGATGTGAACTCTTATTTAAGGTGTTGGCATGTTATGATGTGAGCTCTTATTTAAGGTGTTGGCATGTTATGATGTGAGCTCTTATTTAAGGTGTTGGCATGTTATGATGTGAACTCTTATTTAAGGTGTTGGCATGTTATGATGTGAGCTCTTATTTAAGGTGTTGGCATGTTATGATGTGATGATGTGAACTCTTATTTAAGGTGTTGGCATGTTATGATGTGATGATGTGAGCTCTTATTTAAGGTGTTGGCATGTTATGATGTGATGATGTGAACTCTTATTTAAGGTGTTGGCATGTTATGATGTGATGATGTGAACTCTTATTTAAGGTGTTGGCATGTTATGATGTTATGATGTGAACTCTTATTTAAGGTGTTGGCATGTTATGATGTGAGCTCTTATTTAAGGTGTTGGCATGTTATGATGTGAGCTCTTATTTAAGGTGTTGGCATGTTATGATGTGAGCTCTTATTTAAGGTGTTGGCATGTTATGATGTGAACTCTTATTTAAGGTGTTGGCATGTTATGATGTGAGCTCTTATTTAAGGTGTTGGCATGTTATGATGTGATGATGTGAACTCTTATTTAAGGTGTTGGCATGTTATGATGTGATGATGTGAGCTCTTATTTAAGGTGTTGGCATGTTATGATGTGATGATGTGAACTCTTATTTAAGGTGTTGGCATGTTATGATGTGATGATGTGAGCTCTTATTTAAGGTGTTGGCATGTTATGATGTGATGATGTGAACTCTTATTTAAGGTGTTGGCATGTTATGATGTGATGATGTGAACTCTTATTTAAGGTGTTGGCATGTTATGATGTTATGATGTGAACTCTTATTTAAGGTGTTGGCATGTTATGATGTGAGCTCTTATTTAAGGTGTTGGCATGTTATGATGTGATGATGTGAGCTCTTATTTAAGGTGTTGGCATGTTATGATGTGATGATGTGAACTCTTATTTAAGGTGTTGGCATGTTATGATGTGATGATGTGAACTCTTATTTAACATACAGTGTAATAAACACAGGTGATGTCTGAGAAAGTTAAAGTCCTGCAGGCTCCAGGTTTATGATCCAGTTTATGATCAGTGAGATGTTTGAAAAGACTTGAAGCTTTTTGTAATCGAGCGGAGGGAAGCGTTCAGTGTGACAGGAAGTGGTCACACTCTGAGGACTTGACTTCTCGACAACATGACATGGCCTTGTTTGTTTTGTTTTTCTCACGCTCAGAGTCACAGAAATGTGCCCCGCTCGACGTTCAGTGTCTCAAACAGGAACAATGTAAAGGTTTTAAACTCTTACATGAAAGCCTCTTTCTTCCTGTTCCCGACATGTCATCGATCTTTGAACAGACAAATGAAGCCTGCAGGAATCAACGAGTCTCGGGACTCTGAATGAAGGAGATTAAAGGAGGAGGATTGTGTGAAGTTACTGTGAGGTCCAAATACCTCAGAGGTACAGAAAGTTCTGCTGGTTCTCCAGTGGACTGATTCATCAGGAACAGGCTGTTTCAATTTGTTATTACTGTGCAGGGTCAAAGGTCGTCCACTTAAAGTGCTGGAGTTAAACACTCAGAGACGATAAAGTCGTTAGTACTTCATGATGAAATCTCTGTCTGTCAAAGGATCAGCTGTTTCTGCATCAAGAGAAAATGACCTGAGCTGACCTTTTAAAAAAGACGGATTAGGGTTCAGCTACTTTAGGGCCCGTGTCCACAGATGGCGTTTCAGAGCGCTTCTCACCAGCCCTCCTTGTTGCTACAATTCTACAGTTCACTTAGCAGACTCTTTTATCCAAAGAGAGTGAGAACATCAGAGAGTGAGAACAACAGAGAGGAGAGCGAACAAAGGGAACAATGTCAGTAAGAGCAAACGATCAGCTTTGAGTCTGATTGGACACACAGGTGCTGACAGGAAGTGACCAGAGGAAGAACTCAACTTGACTGCAGTTCTCTAATCAGTATAGAAACCATCTAGTTGCTAGGTACAAAGTTCCTCTTCCCTCTGTAGTGTCCGTTAGGTGTGTTTTAGCTCCATGTGTTTAAAATTTGCTTTAATTCAAAGAAATCTCACCAAGAAAACATGAAGATGTTAAGAAGTCGTGTCCTGACACTCAGCAGCTCTGGAAACTGTTCGCTCCAAATGACGAGGCAGATTCTTCTCCTCCACTGTTGTTGACAAAGCTCATCAGAAGTCCCGCCCCTTCTTGATTCTGATTGGTTGGTGATGGAGAAGTGACATTGACAAGCATGGTGCTGTTCTCAATGTTTTAAACCCTGAGACACACTGATGATGTCACAGCATACTTAAAGAATCCTCAAGAAAATGTTGTACCTATTACATGTCGGTCATACCTCCTCCACTTCCTGTTGTACCTCTGAGTATCCTCCACTTGCGTGCGTGCGTGCGTGTCTCTGTCTGTCTGTCTGTCTGTCAACTTTAATGTGAGGAAATGTGACGGTGTCCCAGCGACCTCCTCTGGTGGTTAAATGATGCATTATGGGTAAAATCAGTGTAAGATCCCATGTGTTGCTTTCTGTGTTTGTTTCCAGGAGACGACTTCTCCATCATCCAGCAGGAAATCTTCATGGTGAAGGAGTGCATGCACCACAACATCGTGGCCTACTTCGGGAGTTACCTGTGGTAAGTCACCTGAACACTCACCTGATGACTCACACTAACCGGGCTGACAGGAAGTCAGCGGCTCCGCCCGCTGTCGTCTGACACTTCCAGCAGGTTGAACTGGAATCTGAGCTTCTGATGTGTTTTACACGGCGCTCTGTGCTCGGAGACGAGCGTCTCATCAGGAATGTTCTGAACGCTCTCGCCGGCTCAGGGCGAGCAATGACTCATCAAACGGGATCAAGTTTCAGGAGTCGGGATGTTCCTCAGCGTCTGGTTTTAAAAACCATGAAACTGAAATTTTAATTCAGACTTGTCGACTCGAGCTCTTTTTCTTGAACATTATCTGCAGAGTGTGGCTAACGTTAGCCGTGTTAGCTCATCCAGCCTGCAGGTTGACCCGATCAGAACCAGAGCTACAGCTCCATCTAGTGGTGGGAGGCTGCAGTGCTAACCCCTGACTCCGCCCTTTAGACTGACACATCGAGAGACGGTGAAAACAAACGTTGAGTACAGAACGCCGCTCTGTTGTCTGATGAAGTTTTCCTGTTCATAATTACTTTGTGTCTCTGTGGCCAGTCGGGAGAAGCTGTGGATCTGCATGGAGTACTGTGGAGGAGGATCTCTGCAGGACATTTATCACGGTGAGCCTCTGATGACCTCCTGACTGTGACATCATCACCTCAAGCTAACAGACCGTTAGCGCCATCGCTCTTTCTAACCCTGCTTAAAGACGACCTTCATGTGTTTGTGTTTCAGTGACGGGCCCTCTCTCAGAGCTTCAGATCGCCTACGTCTGCAGAGAGACCATCCAGGTAAACCTTTGTGCACCGCCAGATAACCCTGAAGCTCGCCACACGTCTAACAGCGTGTTTCATTACAGGGTCTGGGATATCTGCACGCCAAGGGCAAGATGCACCGAGACATCAAGGTAATGCCTCTAACCAATCAGAGACCCCCCCCTGACATGGATAGCCCCCCCCCCACCCCTAGCCAATCAGAGACTAGTTCTGACATCTGTCTTCACCTCATTATAACGGCGTGTAGCTGACGCTGTTGCTTCAGTTGTTTATTTACATCACGTCTTACCTCAGGAAATCCCTCCCCCGCCCCCGACAGGGATCGTCTCCCTCCCCCCGATGTGTGAATGGCGAGATATTATCTGGAGTGTAATGTTGTTGTTGTTTTGTCGCAGGGCGCCAACATCCTCCTGTCAGACAACGGGGACGTAAAGTTAGGTAAGTCGTTCTTCTTTAAGTCGTCTGAGGTGTTCAGGTTCCACCACGTAATCTGAAAAGTCCTGTCAACCCTCGTTACAGCTGACTTTGGAGTCGCCGCCAAAATAACCGCCACCATTGCCAAGAGGAAGTCTTTCATCGGCACGCCATACTGGTAATGAGAGAGGAATTGTTTGTGTTTGTCATCATTTGGATCTCCAGTTCTTCATTCTCATGTCTCTTGGTTAGGGTTAGGGTCTGAGTCTGTTCTTTGTTTGGAGGAGGGTTAGGGTTAGGGTCTCTGACGGTCCTTTCTTCCTGAACGTCTCATAGGATGGCTCCTGAAGTGGCTGCAGTGGAGAAGAACGGTGGCTACAACCAGCTGTGTGATATCTGGGCCGTGGGCATCACTTCCATCGAGCTGGGCGAGCTGCAGCCTCCAATGTTTGACCTTCACCCCATGAGGTTTGTCAGAGCATCTGTGCTGCGTTACAGAGCTTCAGCTTCATGTGATTTAACCCCGTGTGTCTGTGTCCTCAGGGCTTTGTTTCTGATGTCAAAGAGCAGCTTCCAGCCTCCAAAACTCAAAGACAAAAACAAATGGTACTGCATGTTCTCCTCCTCGCTCTCATGCTTCATCTCTCCATCTTTAAAAAACTACAACATGATATTTCTCTGCAGGTCCACCGCCTTCCATAACTTTGTTAAAGTGTCTCTGACCAAAAACCCAAAGAAGAGGCCGACTGCAGAGAAGCTCCTGTCGGTAAGACTCCTTATCGGGGGGGAGGAGAGGGGAGGAGGAGGAGGAGGAGGAGGAGGAGGAGGAGAGGAAGGAGGAGGTGTTTGTCAAAGTGTTTCTAAACAAAGAACCCAAAGAAGAGGTCGACTGCAGAGAGGCTCCTCTCTTTAACCCTCATGCATCACTATGGACATTTTTGTCCATTTGGTCAAATGTTTCCTCTTCATCTGGTCATCATTCTGTCTGTTAGTGCATATGGAACACATTTAAGTCTCTGTCTTGACACATTTTGGAATGCACCTTTTATTTTTTTAATAGATCAATAGAACACTGAGAACCATGTTTACTACCCTCTGAAGTCACTAAGGACAAACATGTCCACTTACAAAAAACTGCTATAAAAAAAATAGAACAGTTTTATATTTTTTCTACTTTTTTTTTTTTTTTTTTGCATAAATCTCTTAAAACAACTCCAGCCCTGCTCAAAACTACCAAACATTTAACCCTTTAAATGCCATAATCATGGAATCAAACTGGCATTTAAAGGGTTAAATTCATGATAATTATTCAATGTTTGGTAGTTTTGAGCAGGGCTGAAGTTGTTTAAGAGATTTATGCAGGAAAAAAAAAGTAGAAAAAATATCAATCTGTTCTATTTTTATTTTTATAGTAAATGAAACTGATGCCTGAGGGTAAAGACTCGTCATCGTGTGTCTCTGTGTCTCGTCCTGTTTGGAGTCTGAATGCAGAAACTTGACCCTGATGTCGTTTCTGCAGCTTGTAAAGAGGGGGGGGTCTTTGATGTCACTATCTGCTCGTTTATGATTCCTGCTGATCTCTTTTCTTGCAGCATGTGTTCGTGGCTCAGACGGGTTTGACAAGAAGGCTCGCCGTTGATCTCCTCGATAAGATGAACAACCCCGATAACCACCAGCCCTACAGTGAGGTGGACGACGACGACCTCGAGGTAAACTGGGAGGAGGAGAAGACCCTTATTCTGATGTTATTATAAATCTGAAGTTTATTAAATCTTAATCTGTAGTCTGATAAACTGGTAACGTTGGGCTTTATGCGCTCTAGCAGCTCAACCAATCAGCGACCTCCAGTGTTGATGCAGAGGTGTTAAAATCCTGCAGTTTCTGGAGTGTCCACTAGAGGCTGGCTGCAGAAGCACAGGAAGTCACATACACACCCATTCTAAAAAGCCTGTTTTTACAGCAGAGATGAACATGTTTACAGCCTGGTTCAAAAAACCAAATAGGTGTGATTAGCTCATGTCTGGATGGACACACACTGTACGGGGGGTGAATGTTTTGATGACTCATCAGTTTTGATTTGATGAAGGATAAGAGTTATTCACAATAAGGCGTGTAGCTGACCTGATTGACAGGTGGGCGTGGTGTAACGGTTTGTCTCTGTTTCAGCCCCTCTCTGCGGTCAGACACACCATACGCTCCACCAACAAGCCGGCCCGGGCCGAGAGGACGCGCTCAGAGATTGACTGTAAGTCCCGCCCCCCTGCTGTGACTCTGTCCTAGGATTGGTTAGCATGTCGGCCTGTTAAGGTTGTGTGTGTTTGTGTTTGTGTGTGTGTGGTCGTCTGTCACTGTAGAGAAAAGGGGAGGGTATCGAGAGAGAGAAAGAGACAGTCGCCCCTTTATCGTCCTTTGTTTCATGCCCTAACTACGCTCATACGTTCATATTAAGTTACGTTAGTCTGTGGTGGTCTGTAATGGTTTGTGGTGGTCTGTAATGGTCTGTGGTGGTCTTAGGAGCCGTTTTTCTTTCTCATACTACAATCTGACTTTCCTCCTTCATAAAGCACACAATGGGACGGACCATCGAGGGCCGTGCTCACGCCCCAGCTTCACTGAGGGTCACAGGGGGGACGCAGGTCAGTGTGGGGTTAGTGAGGCCGTGTGTGTCTGTTTGAACCCGCCCCCCCACTCAGAGTAACACCTGCTGATCAGGATAGGTGGTCTACACGGAGGAAACAGAGCTTTAATGAGGTTTAAAAACACTGAGCTCCTGACGAGTCCGTGAAGTGGGTCTCTCCTGATTGTCCTCATAAACCTTAACCACAGGAGTGGGAGGTCGATAAAGGGCGATGAAGGTCGGACACGTGTGATCAGAGTGTTCCTCGTGTCTCACATCGTGATCTAAAGTTGTTTGAATCATTAAACTGTCATTTCAGTGATTCAACGACCGGGTGAAACCTCTAAAACATGAAGAAAGGTTTGTTAGTAAACATCTCACAGCTGATCTCCTCTGACCTCAGACCTGAACCCAGAGAGGCCTCCTCCTCAGTTACCTGTTTACAATCCCTTTACAGTATTCGACCCGACCCGACCTGAACTGAACTGAACTGACCCTTCCCTGAGCGAGCAGAACCTGCTGAGTGTGTTTGTGTTTGTGAAGCATCTGAACCTCCTCAGAGGAGAATGATCAACGAGAGGTTACCTGAGGGATGGACGCTCTAACACTCTGCTCTGAGTGGCTTCAGGCTTTGAGCTGTGGTGCCCTCTAGTGCCCAATGTGTGAACAACATGATGAACAATAAGTGAACATCTTATTCTTTTTATTTACAGTCGACAAACTCCAGTTTGAACCTCCGCTCAGGAAGGAAACTGAGGCTCACTCTGAGATGGTGATTATCATCAGTATTTCCTGTTTTTCATATAATTAATATAATAATGTAATAAATATAAATACACATTGAGAATTAAGAAACAGGCATTAAGAAGTCTACCTCTGTTCATGTGTCTCCACAGGATGTGAGTAAAGATAACGACTTCCCTTCTCCCTGGAGTCCCTTTGCAGAGGGAGGAATAACATCCAGGTAAGAAGTCCATGGCAACTGTCGTCAAGGGAACTGCTGCTACTTACACCCCCCCCACACCCCCCACCCCCACCCTTTATTAACCTGGTTTATTAAGTGCATGGATGCACCTGTAATCACTGGAGCTTACCCGAGTCTGTGCATGAACTCACTCTCCCCACCTGCACTCTGAAATGTTTTTTTTACCTGTTTGCCACTTATCACCTGTCTGTCTGCTTTTTACTGCTTTACACTTCTGTCCACTCTCTCTCTCTTTCCTGTCTCTCTCTCTTTCTCTCTCTCTCTGTATGTGTCTGTCTCGTCTCCCTCCAAGGAGTCTTCTGAAAAGCGTTGAGGACGAGTTGTTCCAACGGTAACACTAACCCTGTGTGTGCTGTGGCGCCCTAGGTCATCCATGCACCCTTCCTGTGGTCCATGCACCCTTCCTGTGGTCCATGCACCCTTCCTGTGGTCCATGCACCCTTAATGTTGTCCATGCACCCTTCCTGTGGTCCATGCACCCTTCCTGTGGTCAATGCTCCCTTCCTGTGGTCCATGCACCCTTCATGTGGTCCATGCACCCTTCATGTTGTCCATGCACCCTTCCTGTTCTCCATGCACCCTTCATGTGGTCCTTGCACCCTTCAAGTGGTCCTTGCACCCTTCTAGTGGTCCTTGCACCCTTCATGTGGTCCATGCCCCCTTCATGTGGTCCATGCCCCCTTCATGTGGTCCATGCACACTTTATGTGGTCCATGCACCCTTCCTGTGGTCCATGCACCCTTCCTGTTGTCCAAGGAACCTTTCATGTTGTCCATGCACCCTTTCATGTTGTCCATGCACCCTTCCTGTTGACCATGCACCCTTCCAGTGGTCCATGCACACTTCAAGTGGTCCAGGGTTGTCAAGATACCAGACTTTTAACTTTCAAATGATTCTCGTCCAAGTAAAACAATAGTCCCCCACAGACACATTTATTTAACCATCTTGGAAAACCATCCTGAAAGCTGTTTAAACACTATACTTCACTTTCTGAAAACAGCATTTAAACATTTATTTTAGCTCTGGATGTTAAAGTCTGGAAGTATTTTCATTCTTATCAACAGAGTGCAAAAATATAATTTGTGTAATGGTTCGTTTGACAAATACACAAATGTTACACTCCGACTGCCCACATACTAGTTATTATAATATATATTATAATAATGTTAAGATGAAGTTATTAGACATCCGACTTGAATCTGTTTGTTCCCGCAGGGGTCACGTAGCACATCTGGAGGATGCCTTTGAAGAAGTGGAACTGTGAGTGAAGTCATCACAGATTAAAGTGTTTCTGTGTAACGTCTCACTCAAACTATGAACTCTGTTTCAGTTCAACTCTGAAGCCCGGGGTGCCTCCTCCTCTGCCCCCGAAGGTCAGACTCTCACCTCTAAGATATTTTATATAAATGTGTTGTTCTAAGTAAAATGAACTGATGAAACATCGTCCCTGTGTTTCCTCCTGCAGCCACGGTTAAACAGCTCATCAGAGGAGCTTGGCCTTAATGACGAGCGCTCTCTGACAGTTCGAAGGTTCCCGAACTCTGAGAACGGACCGAGTCAGGTATCCCGCAGACAGAGCACACCTGAGCAGGGCAACAAGGTGGAGCACTCGTCTCCAGATTTCCTCTCTGCTAGCGTCAGCAGTCCCGGCCTTCTATCTCACGCCTCCGATCCAGGTGAGTGTCAGCATTTCCCTCTTTACCTGGATTAGACCCACAGACAGGCTGATCAAATTATGATCGTGATGATTTGTTCTACATTCATCTGTATTGGATCTGAACATGTGCCTTTCAACATGTTGTCAGTTTTATGCTGATAAGAGGCTTTAAGTCCCCCTGTAGTTAAGATCATTGAATGAAACATTAAAACACTGAATAAAACCTTATAAAAAGCCTTGTAGCTTAAAACCCTAACCCTAGCTGAGCCTCTGAGTTGGGCCTCTGAGCTGTGAGCTGAGCCTCTGAGCTGTGAGCTGAGCCTCTGTGCTGTTAGCTGAGCCTCTGAGCTGTGAGCTGTGAGCTGAGCCTCTGTGCTGTGAGCTGAGCCTCTGTGCTGTGAGCTGAGCCTCTGTGCTGTGAGCTGAGCCTCTGTGCTGTTAGCTGTGAGCTGAGCCTCTGTGCTGTGAGCTGTGAGCTGAGCCTCTGTGCTGTGAGCTGAGCCTCTGAGTTGTGAGCTGAGCCTCTGAGTTGTGAGCTGAGCCTCTGAGCTGTGAGCTGAGCCTCTGAGCTGTGAGCTGAGCCTCTGTGCTGTGAGCTGAGCCTCTGTGCTGTTAGCTGTGAGCTGAGCCTCTGAGCTGTGAGCTGAGCCTCTGTGCTGTTAGCTGTGAGCTGAGCCTCTGTGCTGTGAGCTGAGCCTCTGTGCTGTGAGCTGTGAGCTGAGCCTCTGTGCTGTTAGCTGTGAGCTGAGCCTCTGTGCTGTGAGCTGAGCCTCTGTGCTGTGAGCTGAGCCTCTGTGCTGTGAGCTGAGCCTCTGTGCTGTGAGCTGAGCCTCTGTGCTGTGAGCTGTGAGCTGAGCCTCTGAGCTGTGAGCTGAGCCTCTGTGCTGTGAGCTGAGCCTCTGTGCTGTGAGCTGTGCTGTTAGCTGTGAGCTGAGCCTCTGTGCTGTGAGCTGAGCCTCTGTGCTGTTAGCTGTGAGCTGAGCCTCTGAGCTGTGAGCTGAGCCTCTGTGCTGTTAGCTGTGAGCTGAGCCTCTGTGCTGTGAGCTGAGCCTCTGTGCTGTGAGCTGTGAGCTGAGCCTCTGTGCTGTTAGCTGTGAGCTGAGCCTCTGAGCTGTGAGCTGAGCCTCTGTGCTGTGAGCTGAGCCTCTGAGCTGTGAGCTGAGCCTCTGTGCTGTTAGCTGAGCCTCTGTGCTGTGAGCTGAGCCTCTGTGCTGTGAGCTGTGAGCTGAGCCTCTGAGCTGTGAGCTGAGCCTCTGAGCTGTGAGCTGAGCCTCTGTGCTGTGAGCTGTGAGCTGAGCCTCTGTGCTGTTAGCTGTGAGCTGAGCCTCTGAGCTGTGAGCTGAGCCTCTGTGCTGTGAGCTGTGAGCTGAGCCTCTGTGCTGTGAGCTGTGAGCTGAGCCTCTGTGCTGTTAGCTGTGAGCTGAGCCTCTGTGCTGTGAGCTGAGCCTCTGTGCTGTGAGCTGAGCCTCTGAGCTGTGAGCTGAGCCTCTGTGCTGTGAGCTGAGCCTCTGTGCTGTGAGCTGTGAGCTGTGAGCTGAGCCTCTGTGCTGTTAGCTGTGAGCTGAGCCTCTGAGCTGTTAGCTGTGAGCTGAGCCTCTGAGCTGTGAGCTGAGCCTCTGAGCTGTGAGCTGAGCCTCTGTGCTGTTAGCTGTGAGCTGAGCCTCTGTGCTGTGAGCTGAGCCTCTGTGCTGTGAGCTGAGCCTCTGAGCTGTGAGCTGAGCCTCTGTGCTGTTAGCTGTGAGCTGAGCCTCTGAGCTGTGAGCTGAGCCTCTGTGCTGTGAGCTGTGAGCTGAGCCTCTGAGCTGTGAGCTGTGAGCTGAGCCTGTGAGCTGTGAGCTGAGCCTGTGAGCTGTGAGCTGTGAGCTGAGCCTCTGTGCTGTTAGCTGTGAGCTGAGCCTCTGTGCTGTTAGCTGTGAGCTGAGCCTCTGAGCTGTGAGCTGAGCCTCTGTGCTGTTAGCTGTGAGCTGAGCCTCTGAGCTGTGAGCTGAGCCTCTGTGCTGTTAGCTGTGAGCTGAGCCTCTGTGCTGTGAGCTGTGAGCTGTGAGCTGAGCCTCTGAGCTGTGAGCTGTGAGCTGAGCCTCTGTGCTGTGAGCTGAGCCTCTGAGCTGTGAGCTGAGCCTCTGAGCTGTGAGCTGAGCTGTGAGCTGAGCCTCTGTGCTGTGAGCTGTGAGCTGAGCCTCTGAGCCTCTGAGCTGTGAGCTGAGCCTCTGAGCTGTGAGCTGTGAGCTGAGCCTCTGTGCTGTGAGCTGAGCCTCTGAGCTGTGAGCTGAGCCTCTGAGCTGTGAGCTGAGCCTCTGTGCTGTGAGCTGAGCCTCTGAGCTGTGAGCTGAGCCTCTGAGCTGTTAGCTGTGAGCTGAGCCTCTGTGCTGTGAGCTGAGCCTCTGAGCTGTGAGCTGTGAGCTGAGCCTCTGTGCTGTGAGCTGTGAGCTGAGCCTCTGTGCTGTTAGCTGTGAGCTGAGCCTCTGTGCTGTTAGCTGTGAGCTGAGCCTCTGAGCTGTGAGCTGAGCCTCTGTGCTGTTAGCTGTGAGCTGAGCCTCTGAGCTGTGAGCTGAGCCTCTGTGCTGTTAGCTGTGAGCTGAGCCTCTGTGCTGTGAGCTGTGAGCTGAGCCTCTGAGCTGTGAGCTGTGAGCTGAGCCTCTGTGCTGTGAGCTGAGCCTCTGAGCTGTGAGCTGAGCCTCTGTGCTGTGAGCTGAGCCTCTGAGCTGTGAGCTGAGCCTCTGAGCTGTGAGCTGAGCCTCTGTGCTGTGAGCTGTGAGCTGAGCCTCTGAGCTGTGAGCTGAGCCTCTGAGCTGTGAGCTGAGCCTCTGTGCTGTGAGCTGAGCCTCTGAGCTGTGAGCTGAGCCTCTGAGCTGTTAGCTGTGAGCTGAGCCTCTGAGCTGTGAGCTGAGCCTCTGTGCTGTTAGCTGTGAGCTGAGCCTCTGTGCTGTGAGCTGAGCCTCTGAGCTGTGAGCTGAGCTGTTACTAACTGTAACTAGGCCTCAGATGAACGACTTACATGCAGTTTGAGATGAGCTTGGATAAAATGAGTCCCAGGTGTTTCAGTCTTGTGTGTAAAAGGCTGCAGGATCATCATGGAATAAAAACTCCTGCAGCTAATCAGATAATAAGGTTAGAAATCACTCAGTTTGTGATATTACCCGCCTCTTATGTGCTCTTTTATCCGTTATGTCGTCTGTCTCTGAAGAAATGATTTATTTTCTTTTACAAGCTCTCAGTACACGTGACTGTAAAGGTAAGACATTTTGATGTTCACTTGTCTGCATCTGTCACTTCCTGTTTTCATGTAAACACTTCCTGTTTTCATGTAAACGCTCCTGAAACCTTCTCGAGAGTCAGACACATAATAACTGACTGATCCTGATCTGGTCATTCACACATGCACCTCACAGCAGGAGACTATCCCTGTCAGACAGGAGGGGGGCATGCTACATGTAGTTGAAGAGAATCTCAATGTGAACTAAAGAGTGGAGAAGAACATCCTGGAGAACAGGAAACATGCATCAGCAGGTTGATTAGAGCACGGAGATGGTAGAGGTGGCGTGTAGACAGTCTATGGTCGTGCAGCGATCACAGAGAATAAAGGTCACCACCCCCTCCCTCCAGGTGAATTCTCCTGATTATATCCTGCTGCGTTCTCACATCAGATCACTCTAAAAAACTTCAGGAGTTTAGTTTAGTTTGTGAAAAAATTAAGTGATGAACGCTTTCACCTCTCTGTGGTCACAGAAAATGACTCAGACGGCAGCGTGGACGGAGACAAACCTCTCCCCAACAGACGGAAGGAGAAGAAGGAGTTCCCGGTGAGTCTGAGGAGAATCCACAACTATTATAGCATTATGTCTCATTATTACCACTCATCCTCTTCTGTGATTGGTTGTTAGCATTCATATGTGTTCTTTATTAGTTTCAGTGAGCTGCACACAAACAGTCCAACATGTCTTTATGTTCAGCTCATAGTTACACCTTACATTAAGACACGAGATGTGATCAACTCTGCTTTGTTCTCTTGTTGTGTTTTAATTTTGGTTTCCTGGTCTCCTCAGAAACCGGCCATCAACGGTCTGCCGCCGACCCCGAAAGTCCTGGTGAGAGAATCATCTGTCTCTGTTTCCATTAGTTCTGTGGTTACTCTCTGTGGTTACACTCTGTGGTAACTCTCCTCTCTGTGGTCACTCTCTGTGGTTACTCTCTGTGGTCACTCTCCTCTCTGTGGTAACTCTCTGTGGTCACTCTCCTCTCTGTGGTAACTCTCTGTGGTCACTCTCCTCTCTGTGGTCACTCTCTGTGGTAACTCTCCTCTCTGTGGTAACTCTCTGTGGTCACTCTCCTCTCTGTGGTCACTCTCTGTGGTAACTCTCTGTGGTTACTCTCTGTGGTCACTCTCCTCTCTGTGGTCACTCTCCTCTCTGTGGTCACTCTCTGTGGTAACTCTCCTCTCTGTGGTAACTCTCCTCTCTGTGGTAACTCTCCTCTCTGTGGTTACTCTGTGGTTACTCTCCTCTCTGTGGTAACTCTCTGTGGTAACTCTCCTCTCTGTGGTTACACTCTGTGGTCACTCTCCTCTCTGTGGTAACTCTCTGTGGTAACTGTCCTCTCTGTGGTTACACTCTGTGGTCACTCTCCTCTCTGTGGTAACTCTCTGTGGTAACTGTCCTCTCTGTGGTTACACTCTGTGGTCACTCTCCTCTCTGTGGTAACTCTCTGTGGTCACTCTCCTCTCTGTGGTAACTGTCCTCTCTGTGGTTACACTCTGTGGTAACTCTCCTCTCTGTGGTAACTCTCTGTGGTCACTCTCCTCTCTGTGGTAACTCTCTGTGGTAACTCTCTGTGGTCACTCTCCTCTCTGTGGTAACTCTCTGTGGTAACTCTCCTCACTGTTGTTACTCTCTGGTTACTCTCCTCTCTGTGGTTACTCTCTGTGGTTACTCTCCTCTCTGTGGTTACTCTCCTCTCTGTGGTAACTCTCTGTGGTTACTCTCCTCTCTCTGGTTACTCTCCTCTCTGTGGTTACTCTCCTCTCTGTGGTAACTCTCTGTGGTTACTCTCCTCTCTGTGGTACCTCTCTGTGGTTACTCTCTGTGGTCACTCTCTGTGGTTACTCTCCTCTCTGTGGTTACTCTCTGTGGTTACTCTCTGCAGATTGCGTTGTCTTTTGGATGACATGTTTAGTGTTTCTCTGATCCAGACGCCTGCCTCCACTGAGCCATGTTGCTTTTCTTTTCAGATGGGAGCCTGTTTCTCCAAAGTGTTTGACGGCTGTCCTCTGAAGATTAACTGTGCCACGTCATGGATTCATCCTGACACCAAAGGTATGACTCCGTGCAGCAGGTAGACACACAGTTTGTTTATTGAAGGTGTTATTAAAGACTACGTATATTCTTTTTCCAGATCAGTACCTGATCTTTGGGACGGAGGATGGTATCTATACGCTGAATCTAAACGAACTGCATGAAGCCACCATGGAGCAGGTAACCATCATCACCCTCACCCGTCAGTCACCTGTCAGTCACCTGTCAGTCAACTATTTTAAAATGGGTCAAATACAGGACTATTCCCCAAGTGGCGACACACTGAACTACAGTTTAATCGTTCAGTGATACGAGCCATGAACACATGGCAGCCTGCTGACCGTTCTTTCTGTGTTCTTCTTGTCCTCCAGCTGTTCCCCAGGAAGTGCACGTGGCTGTACATTATCAACAACAACCTGATGTCTCTGTCTGGTGAGTGACTGATGCATGTTAGCCTCCCACTCCTCTGGCTCCTGTCACCGTCTGCTGCTTCTTTGTCCTGTTTTATATCTGCTGCCTGAGACAGCTCTGTACCTGCAGACGCCCAATCAGAGCCGAGTCCTGGAGGGAGGCGTAGTGATGTCACTGAGTCACAGTGTCGTGTGTGTATGCAGACATGCTGTTTGAGATTACAAACTGCACTGTGGTTTAATGAGCCTCTCCTCTCTCTCCTCCTCCTCCTCTCGCCTGGCTTGATTTGATCTTCTACTAACTGGCTTCATCAGAAGGTAATCATGCTTCACATCATCATCATCATCACCACACGTCTGTTTGTTCACGTCTAACCTTTCTCCAGCTGCTTCACCACACGTACTGTCACATCACTCTCACTCCCTGACTGATAGTACGAAGAGCAAAATCTAATTTCAGAAACCAAAAGTCGAGTTTTAGTCCCAGACAGTCTTCGTATTCCAAAGCACGATTTATACTTGTTCTTGTATTCCTGTACCTGCGGAGAAGCCTTAGTACACAGCCTCACGTTCATCTCCTCAAAATGTGACTACACCACCACGAGCCCTGTGATTGGACCGCTGGGGAGAGGCATATTCTGAGGAAGGAAGAACGCTACAGGCTAATCAGCTGCTGCTCATAATTATCATCTCCCACTGAAACATAACACGCTCAGTTTCAGTCGCCTTGGTTACCTGAACACAAACAAGAAGATAATGTATAACGAGCATCAAACTGCCAACTAGTGTTGAGGCGGGGCATTGCTTCATGCTGCCCAGGAAGTGAGCTTTTAAACGACCAATCACGTGCGAGTGAAAGTGTTTCAGACTGTTTGTGGTCTAAGCTGTCAGATCTCAGTCCGTTCTCAGGAGACATCGTGGTGCGTTCACAGCGAGCCTTGAAGATGTTATTTACTGTCACTGATGATGCTTGTGGTTAAATCTCTGCTGCAGGAAAAACCTTCCAGCTCTATTCCCACAATCTGATCGGCCTCTTTGAGCAGCTGAAGAAGCCGGGCCTCGCCGCTCAGTTCCAGACTCACCGCTTCCCAGACAAGATCTTACCCAGGTGAAGGTTTTATATCACAGCTCTGTTGTCCTTCACTCGTGCTGTCAGTTTGTCCTCCATTATGAATAAAGGAGATTCTAAACGCCATGATCTGTTTAATGACCGTGGTCACAACAACCCGTCTGCTCTCTCTCCTCAGGAGGTTTGCTTT